CATCCACCGCGATTTTATCAAACCTCGAATCAACTTCCGCTCATTCATAGATTCGATATGACGTTGAAAGACTTGAAACTTCATAAAGGCTCCGATTCTCGCGGAGAACACTGTCCTGAAGAAATCCTCTCCGGCAACAGATATCCGCATCACCAGAGCCGGTCTCGTGATAGCCCACGTTCATCCAGACTGGAAGCGGCGAATTTCTCGAGAGCGGTGGGCTCTGACTACCAGGGTCGTAGAACCCTTGTTTGCGCGAACAATTCATCCGGGACCTCTTCTAGACTCTTCATATGTGACGAGGAGGCGTGATTTTTCAATACGGCCAAGAATCGATGAAGCCGGCCCTGGGCATGATGGACGAAGTCCCAGTCTTGCTCGCTCGCCTTTGTGCTTGCCGGCTGGTGACAGTCTTCGAAAGCTTCCATTCGACCACTCCTGGTAAAAAAAAGCAGTGGCACTTGCAGCAGCAACAGCCACGGCAACATCCGCAGCGGCGGGCGGGCGTGCAGGCGGGCAGACGGCTGCCATCATTTGCCAGCGAAGAGCAGCAGCCGAACGCCTCCTCGACTGCCGGCTTAGCTGCTGCCTGCAAGTAGCACGTTTTGCCGCGACCGCGGCAAGAGTTACGACTCGAGCACGGGGAGCAGTTCCCATTCATTGGGTTCATTGCTTTCGTTTTCCACCTGGCTGCGGCCTTCTCGCGTACGACCCACCGACCGCCTGCCTGCCAGCCAGCCAGCAGCCGTCGAAGGCTACCGAGCATGAGGAGCTCCCACAGCACCCCAACACACTCCGATTCAGTGGCGGCACAAATGTACATAGTATATGCAGTGTGGCGGCGACCCGGCTCGCCCCCAGCGGACCGGAGTCGAATCGAGAGCCAAAATGCATTAATTGCTGCCGCTGCTCCTGTAGTCGACTTTCACTCGCTTGCTCGCTCGATCGGACGCCCACCCGCCCGTGTGCCGCGGATGACTTGCGTTACCTTTCGACTTGCGGTTGCAGCGCTGGATGCGGTCGTATCGAAAAGTAATCTCCGCGCGCCGTTGGTGGCTGCTCGGAGAGCTTCCCTGCGGTTAGCGAGCATGTCACGCAAACCGCAAAATTTCATCAGGGAAAATAGACTTTGTTCCCCGGGGGAGAGAATCCATCGTCCATACACTTCCGCTGAAGGTGTGCTATCAAGCTGAATGCAACATCACTGCTCTTAGCCGCGGTGTCTCTTTGTTGCGGGTCAGCGGGTGAATGTATACAGCGGCGGCGGCAGCAGCAGCGAGTCGTCAGACATGGCAAACAGAGGGACAGTCACCCTTGGCAAGATCGAGTGCGCGAATGTAAATCTCCGCTTACATAGACGGACAGAAGACCCTTTTATGGAGAGAGCAAGCTGGCTGTGTCAGAGAGGACACTTGTTGCGCTGATGGTCCGAGGGATCGCCCGTATCGGAACCAAATAGAACATGTCAACAGCTCGCGGCTCGGGCCTCATGACGGAAAATGGTCCGCGCAGGGTTTTGTATAGAGCGGAACGACGGCACGATCCGACGCGACTAATCATGAAAATTCGCAATCATGAAAATTCGGCTCCTTTCAACAGGTGCTCCGTACTATCGGATCTATGGCCTGGGTATCTCTAGCCCCGGTACCTCGAATATCGAAATCATTTCCTGCACGCGAATCCTCCGCGTAACCGGAGCCTACCATATGACAGGTGTCGGTCTCGCTCATTTCATGCACTGTGGGCGCTCATTTTGGATGTGTGATTATTTCTGAATTTCTGCGTTCCAAGGTGTCCCGGGATGTCTGGGACTTCTGGATATCGCTCGTCAGGAATCCAGAGGGAACAAATCTCCGTTCTGGCGAGAGCACCGCGATACGAGGAAATGATTCTCGTCGACTTGCGGCCGCTGACTGGACCCCATTGAGTGCCGGGAACTTTGTAGCTCCTCCTTCGTCGATAACGATTGGACTATCATCGACTCTGTTGGAGACGCGTAATTACGCGTTCTCCGAGTTGAAATCGCAACAAAGGAGATGACGACGAACGGAAACGGCGACGGCCGATGTCTAACAGTTTCAGCCGTCATTATTGTCGACGTCTGTGAATCCTTCGTCCTTGGCGCTGGTTTCTGTCGTTCACGATGAGGTCACTGGTTTACGATGAGCGGCAATGAGGGCCAAATCCGGGGCATTCTCGGAAGGCGAAAGAAAGGGAATAAACGTCGAGGGAGAAAAAAAAACATAGGCGCCTGGACACTTGCCAAACGTTAACTAAGTCGACCGCCTCGAATTGTTTTGGCTGGAAGCCATTCCTCTTCTCCGAAACGCTTTATTTCCTGCTTAGCACGAGTCGGTGGAGACGCCGGCGACGTTTGCCGACAACGACGATTCCAAAGTTTGTTTTTCGTTGTCCTGGCGAAAGAGTCGCACGTAGCCGACAGTTCAGTTTTCTCAGAATCACTCGGAGCAGCGAGCCTCTCGAGGCTCGATGGTCATCGTAAACTTTGTAATCAAGTAGCCTCCCGGGGAAAATCGATCGAACATCCAATAGATTACGTGGATATTTTCGCTGACTCGAAATTTCCCGCGTTGAAAAAATATATCGCGGCAGAATTCGGGAGGTGCGAGCCGAAATATGATTCCGGCCAGACGGGTCCCTGCGCGGAATTCATCTGCATTCTCGGGAATGTTCGGAGCTCTCGCTGTGTATCAAGGCTCACGTTTCTCTGGAGATAGCTGAAATTATTGTCGGCGGAGGGACAACTTTCGCCGCACAATCCTCGGCATCAAAGCATTTCCACACCGCGGCGCGGGGCTCAAAGCGAATGCTTCGACTAATAATATTGTCATGACGCATGCCACGCTCCGTCAGACCATCACTCGAATGAGAAGACTCGATGTAATTCCATCAAGCTCTCCTCAAGTTCCCGGCGGTCCGACCGAAGCCTTCCAAACTCGTCGAGTGATCCTCGCGGCGGTTGCTAATGATCAAACGTGGTAACACGGTGCGACCGGAAACTTGGCTACAAACTATTCAAATAGCTCGAAAATATCTCTGGGACAATCGACTTCAAACGGGCCTCGATTCGATTCGGAGCTCCGAGGCGGTGGCCTCTCTGAATAATTATTGAATTAAATTTCCCCGTGAGCGAACAATCGACCGCAGATATGCGGAATCGCTTAGGGAGTATCGCTTAGGTAGTTCTGTGTATCGGACTCACTCTCAGGATAAATGGGCCAACGTCCATTCCGCGCCATGATGAGGGATTCTGCGTTTTGAGGCCCGTGTTCGGTAGCTGTTTTCTTTCTGTTGACTCTTGACGCGGAACTCGGATGTTCTGAGCGTCCCCTTTACCCGCCACAGCGGGACCTTGGAACTCTCTTGCATAAGATGACAAGAATTTGGTTGGAACTTTTCTCTGGCGTTCAGAGACATCATGAAATTTCGTCTAACGAGCGTGTCATTCGGTTGAAGTGGTTCGCCACTCGTCGTCTGTCGCGAACATACAGCGTTGGAGACTTCGTCGATCACCGAATGTTTCGAACGTCGTTGCCGCTACGATGATAGCGCTATGACGTAAGACAAGCTTTTGAGGCACTCTGAAGAAAAAAAAAGGAATCGACTCTCTCTGTGGAGCGATTCGATCGATCGTCAAAGGCCCCGCAGCTCCAGAGGATGTCAATTGTCTTTGTCTGGATGTCTTCTGTTTGCTCACCAATGTGCTCAAAGGAAGTCCACAGATAAGATGACTAAAAAGATTTACGGATGACTTCGCCCCGCCAAGAGCATCTCGACGATTTTTTTCGCTTTCGAAATGGTCCTGCCATCCCCTAAATCGGAACAATTTGCTGGAGGTCAAATTGATTTCGATACCGGTAGCGCTATCTACGAAATCCACTATCGACCTGTGTGTCTGAACATCTGAACCGATTAGAGAGGTCTGATCATGGTGTACAAGGCATCAGATCAAAGTGAGATCAAGTGTCCGAGGAAGCTCTAGAGGCCCCCGGTATTCCTCCAAGCTCCAATAAATTGAGGCAGATGAATCATGATCGAGATCAATTAGGAAGATCCCGGAGTCTCCCGTTTCGGCTCCGGGTTCGGAGTGGAAGAGAAAATTCATTGAATCAATCACAAACTTGGATCCCTCCGGAGTCAGGAGTCGAGCAAGATACGACGTGGCGATCGTTAGAACCGCAGTGGGCTCCGGTGTTCATGATGTTTCGACTCATAAGAGTCAAAGAGTCTGCCTACCGAGCATGGACTCTCGGACCGAAACATTACTACATCTCCTACACACCTCTCCCAAGCTATAGCATTCAGACTTCTGGTACGCACGAAAACCTTGGCCGGAATTGACTTCTTCATTCTGGTTTTCTTCGGGCTCCCTGTCCAGAAGCACTAAACGTTCTGGCTTCACGGAATGAAAATAATTTTCAGTTGGGTATTCGTTGCATCCAATCAGGATTGCACATGTAACTTGAACGTATGTTCGGCTCCAAGAAACTCTAATTTTTAGGGAAGATCGATAACTATCGATCACGAAATTCGGCCCGAGGACCTTCTGGAAGTGTTTGCCAATCCAAAAGCATCGGATCAGATATCAATCCGGAAGGTCGGATGATTCTATTCCGACCAGTACTCGACGCTCACCGGGTAATTTGATTGTCCTGCGAATTTGTCCGAGTAGGACGAGATCAAATCTCCTATGGAAATCATCCCTCCATGGTGATCCCTATTGATCTCACCGAGCACTGCGAGATCGTATTCTTTTTCCCAATTCGTATGAAAAGCTCGGATATCCCTCGATCCGGAAGAAACCTGTGTCGAGAATAGTGATGTATTCTCCGAAAGCTCTTCGGAAGCAGAACCGACATACAACATGGTTCTGTTTGCATCATCAGCTATTCGTCAAACAGAAGAAGTGGAGGGTAATTTGTTTCTCTTCCTCAGCCTTCGCACCGCTTCTGTAGTCGCAGCCAGCGAGCATCCACGTCGGTCATTTCTTGTGCCGCGCTCAACCACACTTCAGGTGAGAATCTGCAAGTTTCTTCCGAACGATTGTACGCGCGCTCGGCTCGATGCGCTGTCCATGGGTACGTCAACTAGAACGATTCCATCGAGTCGAAGACCTGATGATTCCCGATTGTGCCGGGGGCGATTATTCTCCTCCCCTTTGGAAATGAGTCGTGGGAATAATTCCATTTTAGAACAACTTCTCGGGGCAGACGAACCCCTTTCTTCCGCTATAAACAAAGTACATCCCGTGCGGATACAGGGGTCTTTCTGGTCCGAGCCAATGTCGTCATCTGAGCCACCGGAGAGCGTGAGAATCCCTCTATTCTAATCGGTTTTCCCCGGTGCAAGCCGACCGGAGGGCACGGGCTTCGTGGGAAGAAATATTTATTTTCTAAACCCAGATCGTAATTGGTCCGTCCCCGCTCCGCTCGCCATTCGATCGGCTGTCACCACTCCATGCTCTCACTGTGACACTTTCCGACGTGATTCCGCTCCTCGACGAATGAGCCGCGGATGTTACGCGTCGGAGTTTGCTATCGACTAAATTATAGGTAGCGACTCCCCGATTCCCGGAATCTTCAGCTGGGTCCGAAGCTTCTTTGAGCTTATCGCGAAGCAAAACTCGCTTCCTGTGAATCCAAACGAGTCAGTCACTTCACCGCAGGAGCGGGCCGTGCCCTCTGTCCGACGCTGAGAACGAAAACGAATGGTTTAGCTGGTCGTGAGGTGGATTTGCCCGCTTTCGTGGGCTGTGGCCGGTCGTTCTGAGTTAATTATATGTGGATCTTCTATCGTGTTGCAGCATGCTCTTCAAACTTGCTGCGGTCTGCTCTTTGGCAGCTGTCGCGTTCGCCTACCCCAGCGGAGCACCAGAAGGAACCTGCGCCACCCTGACCCCCAAACATCAAGTCGCGGCTCAGAATTCGAAGTCCAGCCACGAAATCTACGTATCACCAAACGCCATCAGGGCCGGATCACCGACCTCAGGTGAATTCGTTTAGCTAAGAGCCCGCTCTCCTCAGAGAATTTGGGATCGCAACCTCAGCCAGAACTTATGTTGTTCCACGACCTCAACGAGCTTTTGGGACTCGCCCCCACTCGTTCCTCCAGTCTGAGCGAAAGGACTCGCGTACGCTTTCCTCTAAGCCTATCAGAAAGAAGGAGCTCGGTCCGCGTGCCATCGGAGTACAGTCGGGAATGTGAACATGCTGCTGTGTCTCAAAGTGAATTTGCCTAGCAGCGCTAGCCGGAAAGTGGCACAGTGGCAATGTGCCGCCTCTTATCTGTATTATGCATGAATTTGAATACGCGCGAACATTCGGGCATGCATGCATGCCAGTCAGCCCGCCGGCCGCCGTGCTTGCTGGCTCGCCTGCACACTCTGCAGCATCGACGACGCGACTCCGCTGTTCAGAGTGAAAAGTCCAGCTGGTGACGAATCTGTTCGGCTCGTATATCCCTGATCCCTTCTTATTCCGTTTCTTTCTTCCCGGCGGCAGACTATGCCCGCCGCCGTTACCTTGTTTTCCAGTTCGCGACAAAGCACAGCCCCATTGTCGATGTTGTCTCGAACGAGATCAGCTCGTGACAGCTCACAAATCCACGCTGTTCGCTCCTAGCGCAGAGCGGAAGGGAATCGAGTGACTGCCCCACGTCTCTGCCGATTTTCGCTATCGCTTTTTGTTGATTCGGCTCATTCCGATCGTTCTATGGCGCGAGAGATCGCGCGCGTGCTTGCTGCCATGCGATGGGAGAGCATCGAATGTCGCCTGTCTTGGCTTTCCTAACCGACCGACCGAATGAATGAACGAATGAATGGATGAATAGATAAATGGACGGAGGAATAAAGGAGCTAGGTCAGAGGGCCACTCGGCTAGTTAGGACTAGACGTATGCTCGCCACTAATGAGAATCGATTCCTCAGTGACGCTCCACGGATCCACCTTCCGCGGTTTCCTAATTGTCGCTCGTGACGCCAGTACCGAGCAAGCTGTGCAGGGAACGTGGGCTGCTCTCGATGGGTCGTCGAAAGCTCTGGGCTGCGGCATAACCCACAACTCCAAGGACCCGAAGTCTCAAGTGAACGTTCAATTCACTCCTTCTCGCTCGTACAGAGGTCAGCTCGTCTTCCGCGCCGCCGTCGTGCAAGATATCGACACCTACTGGAACAACGTGATATCTGAAGTCATCAATGTCTCATAAAGCTTTATAACCGAATTGTGTATTTGTACATCCAGTCGACGAATAAAGATACTCAAACAAGCCCACGATATCGAAACGACTCTCCCCGAACCGGGAGCCCCCTGTCTTGAGATGAGGTTCCACGAACAGTGGAACGCTGTCCAGAGCCGGCTTCGTTCTAGGTCGGACGGAACATACGAGCCCCGGTCCAGCCAAGGATTCTCCTATCCCTCTCCGAGAACATATTCAAGCGCATATCCCGGATCGGGCTCATCGACCAGAGGTTGTGAGTACAATGAGTCTCTCGCAGGACATAAAACATTCCGCTCCTTTCCATTGAATCAGCCTAATTGGACCGAAGAGGTGCGGTGCGGTCGAAAGCAAGAGAGTTACACACACGCCGGGCTTCGGCCGGAGAGCGTCCCGCTACGGGGTTCGGTCGGAACTTCCGATCCTCACGCTCCGACCCCTCGCTCGGGTTCCATGCAGTGCGTACAGGCGCTATTCTCGTGTGGCTGTCAATAGGCGGAATGTCTAAACTCGCATAGTTAGCTACATCGGAAAGGCGTCGGGGAGGCGGCGAAGAATTTCTATGGAAGATTCCTCCGCCGAGCAAGAGGCTCAATGAGCTGTGGAGCGATCTTCTCCGCTTCTGGGCCCGCAGGGCTGTGTTTTCCTTGCTGTTGGCGACGACTTTGTATCATGTGATGAATACCTCAAGCATCGTTGAGAAGCAGCTCGTGAGACCACTCCCTGCAGTTGTTGCACCTATCCTACCCCCTCGTATCTCGCTCGTGCCTTGCGCTCGCACTTGCCTTTGATGCCAACCGCATCGTAGTCCGAGACACCTCTCCGCGCGGTGTAGACGCACGCTCGGGCTCGGGGACGCACGAATGGGCGGCTTTGGGACGCGGGTCCCAAGCCCGGATGAGGCCGTTCCAATAATTAGTGTTGATACACGGCGATTCGGAGCTTCCTCGAAGAGCGGTGTCATCCCACTCTAAACGGAGGTGGGCGTCCATGTTCTCGGGAGAGCATCCCGCCGTGTGCGATTTTCGATACACCCGCAGCGATTTCCAACCCGAAGAATAGAACGCGGGACCAGGACCATGGTCTCCTGCCGGTGTTTGGCGCTCTCGAAGTTCGCCTCGTCAAGAAAATAAACGGCATCTTGCGCGGAAGCCGTCACGGTCACAAAATTTCCTGCTCCGCGTTGCTCATATAGATACACGCGCTTGGACTCTCCCACGGAGGCTGATCCGAGGACGAGCTTTCCAGACGGATGAGCGAGCCAAATTGTTCGAGGAATATTCTCCGTTCATGAACACGAGTTTCCTGAGTTTGGCTCGTTCCGATCTTGGAGGTACAGCGCCAGCGGAGCCATCGGAGCGATCTTTCAGAAGCCCGGGAAGGAAGCGCCGAGAGCTCGTTTATCAGCGTTATTCATTGATGTAGCTATTTGTTTTTCGAGAAATTACGGCGAACGAGCGTTCCGCCGAGCGCACATTGAGATTCCGATTTTTTCTCATTTCGATCCCCGCACGATCCCTCGCAGCGGACAACCTCCAATGAGCAGCTGCGGCGTTAGGTCGACATCACTGTTGGCAGTAGGTCGACATTTCCCCCACTCTCTTCTCTGATCTTCTTACGAGACGCTCAGATCGCAGCAAGAATGCTCCACCAGGTAGATCGGGGTTCTCGGGATCGGAAAAGGGGAGGAGAAAAACAGGTACCTAATTACATTTCAATTCGTCGAGTGTTCTCTCTCCCGCATCGAGACTGTGCCGAAATATTTCAGAAGGGAGATCACGCTATTCCCCGACACGGGACCGAGTTTCCAAGCGTCCTCGCTGCTCGTGAGCATTCCCACGCTGGGGGCTGCGGGAATCTCCGCCGCAGAGGATTGTCCGCAACGGAGCGAGGGAAGCGCGTAACATGGGGAGCGTATTTCGGAGGCTGCATGTTCAAGAAAAGCTTGAACGAGAGAGGAGAGACGAGGAAGTGCAGCACGAAATAACGAGCATGTATGTACATATTACGGAGGAGAGGCGATAGGAGAACGTTCTCGCTGAGAGGAAACTCTTCGAACGAGGAAAAGAGCCTTCGGTCGAACTTATTTCGCATGCGAACTCGGGCTCCGCGCGGCCCGTCTCGGCATCCGGGCTACGGAATCGTCGGATGAGCTCACTGATCGTACTCGATAGGCGAGGCATGGGACGGCAGGGCAGAAGCTACGACAAGAACTGCCGCAACATTACGTACACAGTGATCGTTGCAATAATGTCCAAGGCAGTACGGCTCCTCTTTGACAGATGCGGCCGCAGCAGTCACGCGACGCAATTGCCAACTATCAAGCGCAAGCGGCGGAATCTCGACGCGGCGGCGGCGTCTTTTGACCCGGATCTGGGTCCGTCCATGTACAGACGAGCACGTTCTTACCCGTCCGAGCTTTTTTGTGCGAATAATCGCGTCTGACACACCCTCTCCCGAGAACACTCAGCGCTCACGGATATCCCATAGTTCTCGCTGGTTACTGTCGGCTGAACGACAGGGTAAGAAATGTGAATGGATCGATTGTTCGCGTTGTTCATCGCAGACGGTGTTTTCTTCTCCTCGATCGACTTCTCACCGGAAATGAAAGCACGCTCTCGGAGGTTTCGGAGTTTTTTCAGAGAACGCTCCGTGCTCGAATCGATTATGAACTCATGCCGTTGCATTCGAAACAGATCAATGCTTCGCTTCTCCCGAGGAGACGCATGTATCTACTGTTCCGTCGAAGAAGGCCCCCTTCTACGTTCGCTTCGCTGCACATACGTCCGTAATCAGAGACAATCATCGTATGTTTCCATCAACGACCACCGTTCCTAGCTCCATCCATGATTTCTTACCGTGATTTCTGATCTGATCCGTGATTTCTTACCGGGATACATGAAGACTCGAGGGCTATCGGAGGATACAAAACTAAAGCATCAGTGATACTCCCGCCGATTTGAATCGTCCCACTGCTTAAGCGTCGCGGCGTGCCATGGGCATTGAATCTATGGGACTTGCAATGCTCGGCGCACAGCTCTGCTCGCATTCCAGGCCGCCGCATCCTTTGATATCGAGTCAGAAATTGAAGAGAGCGTTCCTATTCCTCCGTTGGCAAGAGCATCGGAATCGGAATGTCTCACTCGCGGATCGGGATCTGTGGAATGAGAGTGGTTTTAGAGATTCGATCGTGTCGGATACGAAGGTCTCCCTCAGAAGCGATTTCTAGATAGAGGGCAGCTTGACGATCGAAATTTTGATCACGATATACGTTCGAAGATCAATCCGAAACTCCCGTTTCCGACTTCGCTCCTTTGGGTCTCGGTGCGGCGGGAGCTGCTCACCCTTTCTCAGAGTTTCCTTGGCCTCGCCAAGGAGAATGTCGACATGCATGGATACGATGGATCCTCATAGGGGCCACGACTCTCTCGATGCAGCAGCGTGTGCTGGGTTTCGAAGTGAATCATTTATTGAAGGACAGATCTACAGCCATTTATTGAAGGACAGATCTACAGCCAGCGACTAACCGAGGACAATTGACAGCCCTCGGCTGTATCAGCTTGATGGTGTGACTTCCTTGGTCGACGTCGGAAGCTCGTGAATGAAATCGATGGAAGAAATCCTATGGTATCGGATCAGTCCAGCATCCCACATTGAATCGAATCGGAAGCAGATTGGAGTTTCTTTTGGTGGATCTGAGGACAGATACATCGTATAATGCGGGTCTCGATGGATCCGGAGGTTCCAGTGGAGACTTCTTGAGAGCGAAGAATGATCGCGACTGCGGCGAAGCGATTTCGGCTCCACCAGAAATGAAGCTCCGGGCTCGAATGGCTTCATTGAGCTCAGAGCGCGCCATCCTTGATGCCGATTCGCTTGCCTCTCGGCGTAACAGAGAGAAAGTTAATCTGTTGCGTCACCTAGCTCGCGTGGTCGCTCTTTTCCCGCCACGGGGACCTTCGTTTTTTGATTTCCAACCCTTCTCCTGTCTCCGTCGCCTGAAGCGCCTGCGAGGGCGACTCCCACGGGGTTGCCAGGTGACTGGCTCTGGCGCGTCAAATCGTCGCTGCAGGACAGACCAGCGTCACTTACGTCGCCGTTCATCGCCGGGATTATCATTCTGAGGGAAAGGGTCTCGTCGCGAATCAAAGTGGATGACTCTCTCGTTTGGTCAGCTACGTATTGGTCTAGTCTCCGGGAGGGCCACCAAAAGGATCGCGGTTTCTCGAAAACTCTCGGGTTTCAGAGCTTTGAGAGCGAGCCCCCATGGTAAGAGTTGGAAACTCTTCCGACTGGGTGCTGTCAAAATTCAGATGAATCCGCTGAGCCGAAAAAAAGTATCATGGATCCGCTGGAGTAATATGAGTAGGGAGCCCCAACCAAGGAATTATTCGGTACGCTGTAGAGAACGATCGAGCCGCTTGCTGGTCGCTCTGGTGGAAGGCTGCCGCATAGGTACCGCATGCCGAATTTCTTCACCGTGCTGACAGCTTCGTCAATACCTGAGGGTCAACAAATGCCGGCAATACGATAGCAGCTGACGCCCCTCCTCTGCTCCACTTTTGGAAGACGTCGTGATGAGACATTTTTCGCTACGAACCCCAAGAAGGCGGGAGCTCCCAGGGATTCAGGCAGAAAAAGAGGGGAATCAGAAAGAGCTCGGGGAAGGGGGCATCACCACTCCTTCTACGGATTTCGCGGAGAAAAACTCGGTCCAGCGATCCCCGTCCCCGAAAGCTCGGCATAGCGTCTACGCTTCCACCGTTCGGTCACCGTAGGCCCAGCCTAGAGAACTTAACACGAGTTTCTGCAAACAGATTTGTAATTCTGATTCTCGCTTTTCGCATCCTTCAGTCGGATCGCAGCGTCGCTGTGCATGCTGAATATGGAGGAGTCATGGAAGGAATCCCTCGACCGCGAGCGCTGAACCCGGCTCGGACGCCAAACCCTGTTGCTACACGGAAAGTCGTGCGCGCTGTTCTTCTCTGTTTCTTCGCTCAAAGCCATTGTTTGCCTACGAGCCCTTCTAGTAAACGGATTTGTTCCCTAAATGAGGACAAGCCATCGCGATGTACCCAGCAAGGGTATTCGAGGGCTTGCTCCTCCTCATGATTGTTTTCCGAAAAGAAGATGCCACCCTTTTTCCCCCGGAATGAGGTCCGCATGGGTCTGCTAGCAGCCAGTGTTCCGGATGAAGACTGGTAGTTTGATTGAAGCTGAAGGAAAAGCGAAACGCGCGACCCGCGCAAGCCGTCCCGGGTCTCGTTCGCCCCCTGATTCTCTTCTCTCAGTCAGCAAGTCGAAAGTCTCGTAGAGCGAGCTCGTCGGCGGTGCTACGTGGGTAGATCCTTGGGTCTGCGATAAATCATATACATAGGTACTTAGGTTGATGATTCGGCTCTATCGGAGGCGGAGGCAGCCTTCTGGAACAGAGGGCAAGGCCGGAGTTCCGGTAGAATCGACCTCGAGCTCTGAGCCCGAAACATCCGGCCCCGTTCGGGGCAACGTCGGAGTCACATGCGCGGTCCCCGAGCCCTGACTCAAACGCGGGAAACGATGACGGAGGTGTGATAATCCGGAATCGACCTGGAAATGGGAAGCGACCGAACTTTTCGAGACATCATTCTAGCGATCGAGTGCTTATATTCAGCTCAGCAACGGACGGCTCGGCAAAGGACGTTCCGATGGACCTCCCTGAGCTTTGATCGTGGTCGAACGATCGCATTCCCGACCAACTGTCTGGAGTCTCGAGTTTCGCTCAGAGTCGCTCGCGAGAGGAAGCTCTTGTCCCGGAATGCATGAGATCTTACGGCATCCAGTATTTTTAGTACGGTTCACTTTGGAACGGATGTCCGCTGACTGAGTCGCAGTCGGATCTCGCGTCTTGAGAAACTCGGAATGGAAGAGAGAGAATATGACGAGGGACGTCTCTTTCAATGAGCAAGTCGAGATCGGCAACGGCCAGATAACTCGAGCGATCGCCTCGTCATGACTGTGTCCACATTCCCGGACAAGAACACAGTTGGTATTTGCCGGCTGGAGTTCGACGAAGAGTTTCCGGATGATAATCAACAGAGTCACAGCCGATGCGCTATTTTCTTCGGCTTCGGCCTCTACCTCGCATTAGGAGTGCTCTTCGGAATTTGGCTTTTTTCTACCGGTAAGTCTCCGTGAATATTTTCCGCTTCCTCCCATCATCAGGAGGAGCCAGCGCGCAGATTTCTCTCCTTCCTCCGTTCTTGGCAGATTCTAACGCGGACCTTTCCTGGGCAGGAATCTCCTACTTCATCAGTGTCTGCCATCTCAAAGACACAGTGCCGAGCGTAGGAGCGCTGCCTAGCGATTCTGCAGCTCAGTCGCAAGGGTACCAAGCGACTCCTCGGCCTCCTGTTGGTCTCCCAGAGAGTTCCCAGGAGGCTCCAGGGAATGCTTGGGACTCCTCTCCGGAACTCGCGGGTAACGAACGAGCTCTGAGGTACCCGCCCTCGGAACTGCTCTGTCATTCCAACGGCGCAGGCTCGATCTGCAGCACTCCCCTTCACGAAGTGTGCATTTACCGTCCCCTTGAGCATTCAGCTTCCGACCTGGTGGGATCAAGCACTCATCCATGCTATCTGCCGGTAGTTCCCATGAGTCCTCACCTTCGTCGTATATTCCTCTCAAGATTGGGACCAATTCCTGAATGCGAGTCGAGCAGATGGTTCATCGCGACAGCTCCAGAAAAGTGTTCTACCTAATGGGATCATCCTTGGTGGGCGCATCCCGGCTAACGGAAGCTTTTCGACTCAGCCTGGCGATTTCGTGCATGCGGTAGCGACTGAGTGAGATGAAGTAGGATGGCTTGTGACGAGAGAACAGGGGTGGCTCCCGCAAGGGACAAAAATACGCTTGCAGCTGCTTCGCCTTTTAGAGTTCTACTCGTATAGTTCTATCAACTTCAAGTAATGATTTGACACAACAAGACATGCCGGATTTTCGTTCCTGCGCTGATCATCTTTGTTGGGTCCGCGGGCTCATCAATCCCAACTTCGAAAATTTCTTGAAAGCTGCAATATAGGAGAATTCTGACTCTTTTTTCTCCCAACGAGGAAGGCGATCATGCGAAGCACGAGGCCTCACAGGAAGGATTTCTGCAAGTACCTCCCGGTTGAGGACTTCGCTGATGTTATTTGACCGTCGACATCAGAACTGTACAAGTTGAACGCGGCGAGGATGCGGCTGAGAAAAACCGCTCCTGAGGCCCCGCTCCTCGGTGTCCTCAAATAAATCCATGAAATAAATCCATCCAGGCTCCTCGATGACTATGCGGACGCTTCTGTAGATGGGCTCGAGGAGAGTTCGATTCGTTTCCAAATATGCAATGAGCGGGAAATGACCTCTCATCAAACAAAAAATTCCAAAAGGAATCTCATAGTTTATCGGAAGACTAGAAAGAGTGTCTTCATCGAGATAACTCCTGTTTTCGATGCCGCCGGAGTTATCGCGATTTTGCCTTCCTCACTCTCATCTCGATCCCCTTGGATATCCTCGAGACCCTTCGCTCCACCCGTGAAGGCTATCGAAATCAAACCGATCAGAGGTCACCATTGTAGTCAGTGTCAGCATTGGGGACTCTCGGTCGGAAATCGACGCATGTAGCACGCGTCATCCCTTACATCCACCAAATCCTCCCATCAGGGGCCAGGGCTTTCGGCGTTAGAATACGAGAACGCGACAGGTGGCCCCGGCAGCACGACGCAGCTGTCGGAGACCACTCCACGTTCCAGGCTGCCGTGAGCCGAAAAAATCCAGTGGACGTCACCAGGATATCTTCACACGTCCGATCCCTTCTATGAACCCGTCAGTCAGTTGCTCCCCTTCTCGCCCTGCTCTCAATCTTGCTGATTTTATTTAGTGCCCCGATATAAGGAAGATTAGAGAGGATTTTCATATCGTTAGCTCTTTTCACCGCGTCCGAAATGAAATCTCCCCTATGAATATCATGTCTGAGGTGAGTTCATCGGCCGGAAGAGGAATACAATTTTTCCGAGTCTTCTCTCCTGGTACGATCTCTGCCTGTTATGGCCTATAATCCTGTAGCGTGTCAAATCGAAATTGAGCGGTTCGCCGATGATTCCGAAACGGCAGCCTCATGGAAAGTATAAGTGACCGAGGAACCGAGGTAAATTCTTGATGGAACTGAATCAATCACTCATCGAGAATTTATTCTAATAGAGTCACGTGGAATCTTGGGTCACTTCACTTCGACCCTTATCGGAACCGAGACGACGGAAGTAGCGACATTGAGAGGATTTTCTTTCGTCCCGGTTTTCTCCTGTTAGGAGCCATCCCTCCCGGGACGGAAGACCGTCCGAAGGGGCTGCGGCTCATTGTCCCTTCTTGTTATACAGCACTTGACGGGTGATGTCAACGATCTTCTCGTTCATTTCAGAGTCGTTGCCTCCCCACGTTCTCATTTTACGACATTCGGCCCAATACTGGCCGTTTTCTGTTTCTCCCGCAGGATCCAAACACAAGTGGAGGATCGTTTGTGCGCCAGATACGGCACTCTGTAAAATCAGAATGGATTGCCTCACTCAGAGGGAAGCCGCAGAGTCCTCCCGATATGCATGGGGAAAATGGCTCAGATTAAAAATGTCCCCGAAACTCCGCTCCTTCTGTGCCAATGATGATCCGGGGCAAAACCAGTACTCACGCGACCGAAAAGAAAGAGGAATATCCTTGCGACCAAGTTGCCAAACGTGACCATCCCTCCGGCGAACGAAGTCCAGACAACTCCGGGGTGTACAACGTTGATCGTCACGCCTGAGATCGATAGAAAACTCCCCTCGATTGCGACATCTGATAGTCGGATCTCGCATAACTGCTTCCCTGACGAGCCAAGCTACTTAAATGAGGCATACGGTTCGAGGCTCAGACACTCACCGGAATTCCTGAGCTCGACGGCCATAGCTCGGGTCCACATGAGCATGGCTAACTTCGAATCGCAGTAACGAGAGCCCGCACTGAGGAAGTCCTTGCTGAGTTCACTCTCGAAGCTCGACGGATCTATTCGCCCCCCGGCGTATGCGAGAGATCCAGTGTTGATTATGCGGGATGGCGCAGACTTTTTCAAAACAGGCAACAGAAGTTCCGTCAGTAGAAAAGGACCCAGGTAATTCGATTGATAAATCTCTTCGTAGCCATCCGCGGTCAATTTGTAGGTGTCTCCGATCGTTCCGGCGTTGTTGATGAGGATATCGATTTTTTCCTCTTCTCTCAGTATCTCCGCCGCGAAAGTGCGCACCGACGTCAAATCACACAGGTCGAGCTGCTTGACGCTGACGCCCGCGTCAGGGTTCGCATCTCGGAACTCACTGGCGGTTTCGACTGCTCTCCACGAGTTCCGGCAAGCAAGAATCACCCTCGCTCCCCGATTGAGAAGCTCTCTGCTAGTCTCTTTTCCGATACCTGAGGACAAGAGACTTTGAGATACGATGTCGTTGAGATTCCCGAGAACATCGAGTGCTCCAAGACCCTTGAGGCCTTGGCTTCTAGCCTCGGCCACGGATCACGATGTCCAGATTCCCAATTGAGTCAATTCCGGATCACTCAGAATCAGTTTCGCTAGAGTCGACTCATTGCATTGAAGAAGACCGAATTGTCCTGCAATCACTCGATTTCCTCCACTGAGCTCCATTCGTCCTGCTGGTGCTCGTAGCTTCCGTCGTCGATTGGTATCGAAAAGCCGGGCCTTCCAAGGAGGTTCCAGCAGAGCCGATACGGGCATAGCCGATAAGGAGACCGCGTGGAACTCACCGGAATTAGCGCCAGTTACGATCACAACTTTTCCATCGAGCCGTTCCGTTGACTTGCACTTTCCGATTGTCAGAACGATGTAGGCCTTTACGATCAAAAAAACGACGACTATGATTTGCAAAATAAGGAACAGTAGACTACTGAAGCAATCCATTGCTCGCCAACCGACTGGAATCCAAGAGAATCGCGAACATGCTTACGTTAGTCTGGTTGTTACACTATGTTACAATATGGTGTATTGAGTGAGATACCAGCATAGATTGAATTCACCCTAGACGGCGCGGATTAGACGGAGAGAATCGATACGGCAATGAATATGGTTCGTTTCGAACGCACCGAAACGATCGGATGTGGATTTCGGCGGCCTCGGGATGCGGTCCCCTCCTGTTCTGATGGAGTTGATATGGGAACTAAACCATCGAGCAGCGATTTGGAAATTAGGAAATGAAAACAATTCACCGAAACAAAACTTCACGAGGCGGCCTGACCACGATTCGGCTCAATCTCTCACCGAAACGCTGCTCGTGTTGTTGATTCTTTCACACCGCCTGCTTGTCCGCAAAGTGGAGAGAGCGATATCCCCTCCGCGGCCAATTGAGATCAAAGATTGTTCATATCGAGGCCCTTCTGAGTCCCGAATTTTCGGGGTCGGCTCAAATGCGCGTCTCCGCTCGGAAGACCAATACTTTTCCGGTGCCCTCCCAATCGACCTCCCGAAAACGGGCAATGGGATCCCCTTTGCCGCCTGAAAGCCGAGGCAATATCGTTAGGATCCACATGCTCCGGACGTCGGCATCTTAAAGCTACATTTAGCTCTATCCTCGGCTTGATAGTCTCGCAGGGGGCAGGATCGAGCAGACCCTTTCATTGTTGACGTAGTCGAATTGCCGATGAAGCACAATTTCGCGAGGGTCAGTCAGTAGCGAGCACAAAGCGTTTTATCGTCGTATTTCTTCCGGGATCAGCAGACTCTCTCGAGTCTCTAGGACTGAATCAGTATGCTGTGAATAAGGTGGACTTCGCTCTAACGACCGGATTTCCCAAGGCGAATGAAGTTGATCCAGGTAAGAACTTCTCATCAACTGTATTGAATACTTTTTCCTCTCAGTCAAGCGAGGCATTTATAACATTTCTGGTATTTTCAACACGCGCCCATTAATGAAGGGATCGTTCCCTCTCCAAGTAGCCTGCGCTCTGCATTCAGCCCAATATTGACCCTTATCGAACGGCGCGATAGATTCTACACTGAGGTGTATCACGGTTTGAGCCGCGTCCTTCGCACTCTGAGAGATATATGTATGGCTTGCAGAATTCCGCAAGGGTCAAACACAAAGAACACCACGAGTCATCTGCGTTCAATTCACTCAGGTTTCGAGGGGAGTCCGATTGAATAAACTTGCATGTCGATACAGAGACTACAGTGGTCTACTTACGCGACCGTATAGTTGCATGAGACGATCGAATATCTTGTAGAGCATTGCAAAGATATCGGTCCGCTCCGGAACGATAGTGGTTCGCGCGACGCCTGGGTGCAGAACGTTGACGGTCACACCTGAAAGAGGTTGGGAAGTCTGTCATGAACACTTTCAGATTTCCGCGCAACTCATGATAAGACTTCGGAGAAGAACACCGCTTCGATAGACGACGATTGTCTTACCCGAATTTCCGAGCTCTTTGTTCGAGGCTTTCGTGTAGGCCAGGAGAGCTAATTTCGTAGAAGCGTACCGCATGAGTTCTGTAGAGAACTTCGACTTGAAGTCGGCCGCCAACGTTTTCGGGTTGATTGAACCGAATATGTAACAGACGGAGCCCACATTCACAACTCGAGCGGGCGCCGATCTCTTCAGCAAGGGCAACAGAAGCTCAGTGAGCAAGACTGGAGCTAAATAGTTCACCTGGTATGCTTTCTCGAAACCGTCAGTTGTAAGTTTGAAATCACTTGCTACTGTCCCGGCGTTGTTGATCAATACATCTAATCTCTCTTCTTCCGCTAAGATCTCTCTCGCGGCTGTGTGAATCGAATGGAAATCGGATAGATCGACCCGTTTCATGACGATTCTACCGTCCGATTTACCCTGGAGCAGTTCCTGCGCTACCGCGGAGGCTTTCTTCAAGTTCCGACAGCCAAAAATGACCGTCGCGCCACGTTGCAGGAGATCCCTCGCAGTTACTTTGCCGATACCTGCGTTTCAGAAGCTCGAAATCGGAGGGCTAAAGCGGGGAGCCAGCCTCTCAAAGACCTTCTTTGCGTCGAAATACTCGTGTGCCAAGGGACGTCGCCATCCTTACCAGAGTTTGCGCCAGTTATCAGGACTACCTTTCCATCCATTCGCTTCCTCGATTTGCATTTCACTTGCCCCGTCATGATATATAATTTCAAGGGCAGGGATGGAACCAAAATCAATTTTACGAAGAAAAACACTGATCCAAGGAAGTCGGACATCTCCATTGACCTGAAAATAGAAATAAGTGAATAGAGTCGTGTCTCCTCATCGGCGAGCGGGCACCATAGGGTATAAGGAGGAGAAGGTGAAGCGACGCATTAGTCTCTCATGCGCATATCTATAGGTATTCTCTGTTTGATCTCCTCTCCTTGAGAGTTCGATCCACGGCCCGTTATCCCAGCCGGAATGAACACGGGGAACCTGTAGAACTGGAAGCGAGACGATATCATGCCGCAATCATGCTAGGCATCCCTCAGTCGGGTACATCGGAGAAGTTACGTCCACGAGCTCGTATGAGAGGTTGGAAGCCATGAGTTATCAGAATAAAATCTCCGTTTCCCACCTAGTGTAGGTGATTATTATAAATTCAGAGAGAATCAATAATTTGGATTGACCATCACGGCGTGGAATAATCCGGCGACCGACATTCCACCGTCTCGGACGACACAAGAAGATACTTTTATTTCTTGGCACACATTTCTCGCAGCTCAGCTTGGAGCATCCGCGGGAATTAAAATCGGTAAATACGGACTGTCACGTAGGACTCATAGATGATCGCGCAGGGATCGGACCGCTCAAAGTAAAGTGTCTCTTGTCGGCTTGCCCACTTCCCTACCGGAAGTATTGCGAACTATACCTTGCTCTGCGTACGTCAACGGCGAAACATCCAAGTCGACTGTCGGCGTAGCCGTGGTTACGCGCTGATCAAAGTAGGTCGTTCCATATGCGACTTCCCTCTGAACATCTGGGACCTCGCTTCTATATGGAATGGGCGAATCATTCAACCACATCGTATCAAATAATACCCGACGCATCCGTTCCTTCATTGTCCTCTTGAAAAACGGGCTCCTGCCATCACAATCCGATCCTCGCCATTTTATGCGTGTCATGATGAAGATGAAGCGTAAGGTTCCATTAAGAATCGGGATTCGGGATTCCCCCTTTCCCCATTCACATACGCACAGCGGGTGACCGATTTGAGCAATGCTCAAGAATCTTCGGGGAGAAGGCCGGGTCCAGGGGGATTATGCGATTAAGTATCCGATCTCCGATTCCTCACGGGAATACTCGGTTCCTCAAGGATGCTCTCCTCCGAATCCCTTGCCCCTGTCGGAGTTAGATCTATATGATGCAGATCCGCAGTTCCGAGTCTCACGTGATCTTCGGAATCTGCGAATCCTCTCATTCATATTCGGGTCGCTGCTGTGGTTGGAGAAATAATCGACTTTTTCCAATAGAGCCTGCGGCGGCGTGTCGGACACGCTTCGTCGCAGCTCGCAGAGCGTGGCGAGGGGAGCACGAGTCTGCAAATGCGAAGCCACTCGCGAAGCTTACACGCTGGTTGTCAGTGGCCGGTTTGGTGGGAATCCCTCGACCTTCTGGAGCGGAATTTTCGCCTTTTTCCTGGGACACCCCGGATAGGGCGGAACTATCACACACTACTCGGTCAGCGTTTTTTGCCGCAAGGGAATGCTCCCGGAATCAAGACGGGAAATGCTAAATGCGAGTATCTCCTAATGATCTCCTAAAACTCCGAGTATTCCCTAAATCCGAATATTCTGGCGATGAATGTTACAATTGTGGAAGAAAATGATGTACTGGCAATCCGCTTCGACAGAATCGGGCTGTCAGACTTACATAGCGCATCGTCGAGCCCCGCGGGGTAAGAGTCTCATGCTGGGTTAAACGGGTAGCAAAACAAGATCGACAGCTTCCGAGATAGGCGTGCTGAGTGCTGGGTTCGAGGCTCTCACCTCCTACCTGAGTCGATTCCCTTCATTCGAAAGGACGACGCGATTTGGGATTTTGTACAGTCTGCGCTCGATCTTTATACGGGATTGATCGGACAATGCACATATGCAGAACTCGGTTTCCAACAGTGCAAGGAGTCGTCTCCATCCCATGAACCATACGAGAAGACAAATCTTGCCTCCCAATAAACGAGCTGCTCTTGTCGCTGTGGCGGATGCTTCGAAAATTCAGTCACTTCCGGTACAATGAAAAATTACGGTAGTCGAGGCCGGGCCGGTCCGCGGCCTTAGTTTCGTGACAGACAGGAAACTTGCGTAGAACACGGAAATATTCTGATCTTTTTTAAAGATCCCTTCTGACGGAGCGATGCTGATGAAAGAAATACTCGATTTGATTAGCAAGATTCCGGTGAGCTTTGACTCGGCAGAAATGTACGTGAGATGGGAGATAAGAAAACGCTGGGAATATCGCACACTCTGAGCGTTCTCGATCGAATACTAAGAAATTGGTTTGCCTCACATCAGCGATCGTCTTGAATATCGAGAAGGATATCAATAACATGACTCATGAATGATAATGAGTCAGTCAGACATGACTTATGAGCCTTGACTTCATAAGGTGCAAGAAGAGCCTCCAAGGCGACACAGATGTGTGTTCCTTTCGGCTTTTCTGGACACGATAAAGCAGGATCGCGAATTTCGTGGCGGTTGCAAAAACCATTCCCTCTATCCCACCGAACATTCCCCTCCTTGAATTCGATCGTATCTCTGCAACAACCTATCTTTGTCCTATATGGAGCTCGATGGCTGAGCGATCGCCTTTCCGCAGTGATTTGTGGGATTCCTCTTCTCCTGATCTCTTCCGAGGTTTAAAATATTGATTCAAGCTTCGGGGTGTTCTTTCGGAGGATCTCTGATTCCTTTTTGCTCTCGATTGCGAACAAGAAGGAAAAGTTTCCTCCCAGAGCTCACCCAGAGATCCTACCGCGCCCGGAACCTCGAGATCTGATCCGAGGGACGGAGAGCGGGAGGTATGAGTATGAGGCTCGCTAATTGAAACCATCAGATACGAGTACCGAATGGAGTCGTAGATTATGGTTCATGAATAACAATAATCTTCTCAATTAGGAACGGGATCAGGCGACGCTGAGTCTCATCGTGGTGTAGTAACAGAGATAGAGCTCATAGCTAGCTCCTCTTTATTTTGAGCTCTCTTCTCGTTATATCGACTGCCCTGGCGTTGTCATGTGGATCGTTCCCCCTCGATGTGGCCTTCCGCCGACATTCCGCCCAGTAGTGTCCGTTGTCTTCTGGCGCGATCGACTCCACACTCAGGTGTATCAACGTCTGAGCTCCAGACTTTGGACTCTAAAAAGGAGAAAAAAGTCAGAAAAAAGCAAGCCCACGCAATCTGAAGTCCTGAGTTTCTCGGATAAGAGACATAGGTACCTCGATCCATGGTATGGCTCCTAGGCTCGCCTGTCTACCGAGCGTCTACGAAAATGGTTCGATGACGATACGGTTCCACTTACCCGTCCACAAGTCACTAGCCAGAGGCTGGACCAGAAATTGTACCAACTGAAGCATTTGAAAGTCAAGGGTGTGAGAACCACACCGGGGTGGACGACATTGACGGTCACACCTGATTCAGAAAGATTGGATAATGTCGTCGATATGGAATTTACATATTTTGTGTTCTTCTTTGTATGTCTGCTCATTCTCGCATTGCTCTACAATCATTCAATAATCAAATCCTCACCAGAACCCTTCAACTCCTCATGAAGTGCTCTAGTCCATTTAAGGAGCAGCTGTTTAGTTTCGCAATATCGGAGGCGCGGAGCTTTGCCCGGAGACCTAAAATCCCTTGCCAACGTATCTGTGTCCGTTCGGACGAACATATAGGCTAAGGAACCGACGTTTATCACCCGAGATGGGGCGGATTTCTTCAATATGGGCACGAGTAACTCCGTGAGCAAGAAAGGAGCGAGATAATTCGTTTGGTATGTTTGCTCGAAACCATCGCTTGTGAGAATGAATTTCGAGTCCCCGGTGGTCCCGGCATTATTGATTAAGACGTCGATCTTTTCTTCCTCCTTGAGAATCTCTCTTGCGAAGGCGCGAACCGATTCAAAATCGCAGTTATCGATTTTTTTCATGACGATTTGACCGCCGGGAACCTCGTCGAGGATTTCTGTGGCCGCTTCGGCGGCCTTCACTAAATCCCGGCAGCCCATGATCACTCGAGCTCCTCGACGTACGAGGTCTTTGGCGGTCTGCTTGCCGATACCTGCGGATGGGGAAACAGTCGTCATCCCGTTTGAGTCCTTTCAGGCAGAGGGGGGTGGGCTCGCATCCCTGGTGCAAGTCTCGCTTGAGCCCGCCCAAGCGCTCGAGCTCATCCCGACGAAATCTCGTCTGGTTTTCGAGGATATCTCGATCGGATTACTCGATATAGGACTGATTCAATTATGGTATGCCCACCGGAATTCGATCCAGTTATAATCACGACTTTCCCATCCATGCGCTTCTTTGATGTGCATTGGGCCGTCGTACACAGAAGGTACACTTTCAGGACCAGGAATGCCGCTAGGGCCAGCTTCAGCAAGAGGGAGAGAATGCCGACTATATCAAACATCTTTCTCTACCTGAAGAGTGAGAATTTTCTTAGCGCAATGTTGAATTCTATGCTTGTGTGTCATATCAAATAGTAGGCTGACTCCTATCTTCATCGACGAGTCCATCTACCCGGTTCCGATCCTCTCCGGATTCTTGCTTTCCCGTTCTCCCGCGGATCTACGATCTCACGAATTCGATCTCGCTGCTCCGGAGATTCGTGCATCGCACGATGGATCAGGAATTACTCCCTCGCTCATCGGGAGGAGGGAACCTTGGGCATTTGGAACAGGCTCGACAAACAGCGAGTGCGATATTATCATACCGTACCACTTCACTGGAAGTGTACATATACATGCTTCGCCGCGAGATCGGTATCGAGAGACGCGGCTCGAGACTGATTACCGGAGTTTTTGCCCCGAGAACCCGAAAGTCGGGGAACTGCTCTCATGAATGGTGGTAACAGGAGCAGGAATCTAATCGAACTCACGGCTATAGACTCTGAAAGATTGGGCGATTCTTTAGTCCCAGTCGATCCACGAGCGTTCGCGATATGACCCTACTTATTGAGCGAGACGCAGCATTCGTTTGCTGGGGCTATGCGAGTTCAATGTAAGCAATTGAACTCAGCCTCGAGTCTACTCCTCAGGTTAAATTAGACGACACCCCGCCGTTCAGGGAAGCTTCTTTAGGATTTACCTCACTTTGCAAGAACGGTGGTCACTGCTCGCGAGAACGGGTTTTTTTCCGCCCGGCTTGAGTTCACTCTTTGCCGAACAACTCTCAAATGACAGACGCCGATTTGCTGATTTCCACCAAGCTGCTGCTGGCGGGTATTTCCGTAGCCACCTGGAAGAATGACGCCTGCATATAAATGGAACGCTACTCTCGTCGTGTCTTCGGCTTCTGCTCGAATGAGCGACTCTGTAGGAATCCTCTCCGCTTTTGACAAATGCGACCGAAACCTGTCGCGTTTTCCGTATGGAACGCTCCTACTCAATGTGAAATGTCAAGTAGGGCAACGAATGGATAATCACCCTTCCAACGACGGCTCCTCTGTCGGATTCACTGGGGCTGGAGGTGTTTTCTGGTGGCGGGATTCTGGGGCCGACGGCAGGCTCTCTAGCTGGGGAGAAGGGATACGATCGATCGCCATGGCAGAGGGGAAAACCCAGCTATGTGATGCGGCTGCCAGGCTCACCATCCCGAGATCTCGCGGCAGCGAAAATCAGGAGTTGATTTTCCGGCGACATACATGCATTAACCAGCTGGATCGGTGCGCTTCTGGCGCACGCATCGCCACCGAGAATTTGGTTTTGAGCATCCTCTGGAACCGGATGACAGGCCATTTGCTATTCAAATATCCGGACGAAATGAGCAATGTCCTTCCGAAAAGCTGGCGGAAGGCGATTCATCTCCGCGGAAAGCAGTCTCCTCCGCCTAGCATCGAATCAGAACGGCGCACCTGGGTTTCCGCGTGACGTGGAAAAGAAGAAAGGAAAGGCGGGTACTTTATCGGGGGCGCTTAGCGGAGGGAAGGTGGTTTTGGGGTGAATAGGATATCACCGTTTGCTCGAATGGGAGACTACCTCGCTGCGCCATGTCACGGATTTCTAACAATAGATACAGTAACACAGACAGACAGAATGGCACACAGCCTCTCTGTGTTGTGCGTGGGGGAGGAATCATAGACATCGGCGATCTCGCTGCAGATCTTCCTATCAAAGAGCACGGAGTCAGCGACATAAGCGGATGTTCGCGCTCCGCGATTCCCTTGCGCAACATGGGAATGACCGTTGAAGCACGGGAAGCGACCGCGTCACAGCGCGACGGCGCGGCGAGCAGATTCTCTCCGGAGGCTACATCCTGGTTTCGGGATGACGTTCGAGCTTGTGATAGGCTTTTGAGCGATGCGGGAAGTGTATGAATTGAGTGTGGATATGATTTCTTCCGTCTGCCGGAAAACTGACTGAGGAATGACTTCGAGCGACAGAGCAGGAGGAAATGCTTCCTAGAACGAACCACAATTGAGCAACGGCGAGCGGCGGCAGCATTCTGGTGTGACGAGGGCATTCATATGACTCCATAATTCGCACTTCAGTTGGCGAAATCGCGATATATGATATGGATAGTCCAATCCTCGACTTCTAGGGAGAGACTCTATCTGGGTCCCGGATGTGATCGGATGAATGAAACATGCATCGAGTCAGCTGCTACGTGGGAGAATACGCTGCAGCCAATAAGACCAGATGAAACACTGGACTGCGACTTCTTCTGAGCAGAAGCGAGACGCAGCCGATCCGGAGGAAAGAATCATCCATGTTCGAGCTCAGAGGAATATATGCAAGTTTCGGCTTGACTCTCTGACACGACAAAGCAATCGGTTCTCCCACGCTCATAATCGGATAACCGATCGTTGCCCGCACAACCGCTGTGCTAATCCGAACAATTAAGCAGCGAGAGCATGGAAGACCCGGAAAGTCGCAGAAGGCAAGCTCATTTGAAGCTAACTTCCTGACGGACGACGTCATCACGATCAGATTGAGGAAAGAGCGCCGGTGCTGTTGAAGCTGGAGAAGCTCCTCGCTATACGGCAAGCCAGCCTCTCAGCATAAAAACTGCGGGTTTGGACGTCGTTGGAGTCTCGGATTGGAACAAGATGCAGAACAGCACAGCACGAGTTCCTTTTGGGCTGCCTCGTTCTGCTGCTCCGGTCAGCCAGGTGAAATACCTAGCATCTTGGCATCAACGATGATGGCGGTGGAGGCATAGCGTCCGGCGAGTCCCACAACGGCGGACAACAAGGCAAGGACTAATAACACACATGCGGCTCATCCGGAGCGCCACCAGATCGAGCGAGAACGATGAGCTGCTGTCGGAAGCCTTCAAGTCAATCGGAAACCACAGAGCTCAGAATAGGTGGAACCCTGCGACCTACTCTTTGCCCTCTAACGACGACGAGATCAACTAATTGTCGCTTGTGACCTTGTGACGCTGTCGTAGCAATCGTAGCTCTCTGAGATACTATGCGGCATGCGGAATAACTTCCAGTTTCGGCATCTGACCTATGACGTATTCGACGATGGTGATCGCTGGCGCAAAAAGGCTGGCTCCGCGGCGGATGAAGATTTGGAGGAAACCGAATCGAGCTCTGGCTAACTCTCCCAATCTTCCGGCATGAATTTTGAGGACGATTTGCACCAAAATTTTCTTTAAAATCTCAGTTCAATAATTCCTCAAGGCACCCGACGAGCCGAAATTCATCTCAGCGCTGATAGCTTAGTCTCGCTCGACGCTTCAATGGGAGACCTCCTTCGGATACATTCGGTGATTATCGATCGGATCAACCCAACCAGATCGAATACGAACCAATGTTCCGCTAGATTGGTAGCAGTGTTAGACGGTGTTGAAGCTCGAGTTTGAAGCGAAGTTGGAGCGGTGTTCTCCGAAATGTGAGGGCGCCGGACATGGGGATCGCTTGAATGGTATATACACCCTCATCGGGCATAAGAATCTTTGAGCACCACGAAAAAAGAAGAAGCCTCGAATCTCCACAAAGCCCGGAAATACAATCGCGATGCAATACACGGAATATATCGCGGCCGCCTGGTGCCAATGCATTTTCAAGGACTCATCGGAAAATGACTCAGCCGGCTATCCTAAGAGAGAGTGAAAAAACCGAGAGGAATCGATAGATTTATAGTCTGTCTAATCCTGGAGTTTCAAACATTCTCTGGTCGCCTCCAAGAGTTTGCGGTTTTGGCTACGGTCGTGAGCTCTCATGATATCAGTCGGGCAGCAATCTGCCCAAAACTTGCCGCTCACTTTATCTCCAAATTCGTCCAGACACAGATGCAGCAGTGTTTGTGCGCCTTCTTCGACGGACTGAAACGGAGGTTTTTATGAAATCTTAGAACAGCGTAGTACGTCACGCTCAATTCCTCTCATCGATGTAGAGGAGATCTGTCGACTGAATTTCAGGAAACTCTTGGTACAGTTGGCATGACGAGGGACACGTACCCTTCCGTTGATGAAGATATTCAACGCAAACAAGAGGTTCGATAAATTGAAGCTCCGCTGCGCGATTCCAGTTCGTACTACGCCCGGATGGATGCAGTTGATTGTCACACCTGAACGGCACTCAGTTGTTTTATGCTCTCGAAACTTGTGCATGGAAAAAATGCTTATGCTCGCGGCCGGAATCAGGCTGAAATCGGTTCCCACCGTTCCCGGCCAATATCGAAAATCGGCTCACGCTACCGACTCACCGGTTTTCCTGAGTTCCTGGGCCATAGCTCTGGTCCACATTAGCATGGCGAGCTTGGTGTTCCCATAACGAAATAGGCCGGGCACTCTACTGTTGTTAACAGCTTCGACGAATCGTTCGGTGCGTACTTGACCGTAAACATAGGCTATGGAACCAACATTGAGAATTCTGGCGGGCGCAGATTTCTTCAACAGAGGCAGAAGAAGCTCGGTGAGATAGAAGGGTCCCAAATAATTCGCTTGCCACACTTCTTCGAAGCCATCTTCGGTGAGAGTGAAGTTTCCTCCGGTCATGCCCGCATTATTCAGCAGAATGTCAAGCCTGTCCTCCGATCTGAGTATGTCTTCGGCAAAGTCTCGGATCGATGCCAGCGAGCAGAGGTCGAGCTTCTTCACAACGATATGACACTTGGGAATTTTCTTCCGGATTTTGTGGGCGACCTCCTCGGCTTTCTCCATGTTACGACATGCCATGATGATCTTCCCTCCCTTATTGGCGAGGGTTTCCGTGGTGACTCTACCGATACCTTGAACCGAAGGGATTTTTGTCAAAGCCGCAGCTCTTTTTCCCTCTTATCTCATGCAATAATGAGGGATGAGTACCAGAATTACTGCCAGTTATGATGATCGTTTTCCCGTCCAGACGATTGGTCGATGTACAGCGGCCGATCGAGTATTTCGCATAAAGCTTCAGCAGGGAAATGATCAAGATAGCGATTCCCACTCCATTGCCAATGACACTGGGGAATGCGTCGAACATGTTTTCAATGCGGTGTCTTACGAGGATTCAAGCCCGAGAGATCCGTATCCCCTGTAAAATAGCTCCGATTGTGGTTGTCGAGCTGATCAAGAATTTTCCGGCACTGGATTTCTGAAGCAGGAGTCGGTCTGGAGGAAGATTCTGCCTCAATCGTCTAAGCATACATTATTCGCCATCGAACTCGATTCAGCGTGGAATCGATCGCGCGGACGTCCTGCCAGAGCCGAGCATTCTCCCCTGCAGCGGCGCTCCAAACAAAGTCGGCGGCAGTCTCAAACCGACGAATAATAAGAGTTTCAGGAAATTTCCGAGCGTTGATCCGCTCCGCTCGAATTTTTTATTTCGGCTCGGTCATCCGCTAGATTCAACTAGCCTCTGACGCGAACGAAGAAAATATCAGGCATTCGCTCTCGACGATTCGACCGCGATTCGATGACCGAAAATGCTCTTTTCAAGAGTCGTTGCGGGAAAAACTCTGAGGATATCAGCGCGAGCTTAGAATCCGGCTGTGGTCAGACGAGCGACCGAGTTATCTACCAAACTCATTCGCTCCTTCCAGACCGCAATCACTGTCTGGATCCGCCGAGTTTCCCGGTCGTCCCGAAGGGTCGGCAAGTCGACTACGGAGACAGAGGAGCGAGCCTAACTCAGCTGCGTGAACGTAGGACTCGTCACAAGCGTAAGGAGCGCCGATAGACTTTCACTGCTCTTGGGGATCGCCCTGTCCCATTCCCAACACACGGAGCTCGAGAAAAAGGTGCTCCCCAGGTTGAGAGCGGATATCCCAGCCAACGAACTTGGAACCTTTGAAAGACCGAACTCTGAACTTCATGGTAGCGATGCATTCGAAGAAGAGAACAGAACAGGCTCCTACATACCTATGGAGAACTATGAAGCGGCACTTATTTCAAATGCGGATAGGCTCCCGGAGACAAGTACAAGCACACAGCGCTCCAGAACACTTAAACAAATGAAATCCGGCTCTTCCTCCACCGGTGCTATTTTTCACAGTCGGTGTCGGCTCAGGAAAGTGCGTTATCCTCGAACGACGGATCCCAGGGTTTCATTAGAGCGGATTCTCTCCCGTATATAAATCTCCTCTATTCCGCCAGTTCGATGCAGCCTCTTGTGAGCTCAACTTCACGGAAACTGAATCGGAGGCTGTCCGAAGGAAGAGGACAGCCAGCAGAGGGGGCTGTCGATGGATAATTCGGTGGTTTATCCGGTGCATCCTGTTACTCCCGGACTCGGGTTCCGCATGAGACGTTGTCCCCAAACGGAAAGTTTTCACCTCTAAGAACTCCCGCCGTACGCTGCCCAACTCGAGTGCTTTATCAGCGGAAAAAGACCGGACGTTTTTTTCTGTTTTCCTCATTCCGCTCGTCGCTTGCCGAGGGCTCGGAGCGTGATACACACTTAACAGCGCACGAGAAGAGCCCGAAGCTTCAACACTGAAGGGCCGGTCGCCATTGTAGATACACCTCCCAGATACATGCAAAGCTCCGCGTAGGCGGCGATCGAGCTCGGACATGAACGGTACTCCGCTTGCCGACAGTATGCCATGGAGCTCATCGGCGAGGCTAAGAGTTCCCCGAGCGCGAATTTAAAAAATATATATATCATCCTACAGTTCGAGCTATCGAGGTATCTCATGAATTTGGTCGAGCTTTCACCCTGACCTCAGGCTCATGATACCTGATCCGAAAAGTCATAGGCTGCTCCTGGAACGTATCCTCGATGCCATGGCATCGAGGTTGGCTGTCATCCATACGAATCAGGCTTCGTGAGCTCGTCTTGGACTCAGTATCCGATACGCGCAACAATGTTCACAACGTCATCAAGCACACTTCCCAGGAGGCTTCGACTCCGAGCGTCAAGGTAACGGCGACTCACCCGTAGGAATCGACTCGGTCTTACTAGAAGGCGAGAAAATGAGTCTTACCTTGCCTGACGGACATTCCCAATATTCTCGGGAAATGAAACTTGTTGACGTGTTGACTATTCTCATCGTCAGACATTCCACCATCGAAAATTTTTCCTCCCCTCTCCGACAGGCCTGTCACCTGAAGAGAGCGAGAGCATTGATGCGACAGTGTGACAACACGGTGAGAGCGCGACGGATTTCAGACACAAAAGTCAAGTAGTAATGTGATGCGACGTTTACTCCAGGTAGGAAGCCGCTGAGAATCAGTATGCTTTTCGATGACATGAGACTAATTCCTTGAAGGGGCTCCCGGAAAAGAGTGCCACGATACCTTCGGGCTCACGGAGTTCGATCTAAACGGTCGATATCATACGGGAGAGTATATTCGATAGCTCGCAAGGAAAGCGACCATCCGTAAGGCGCCTGAATATCTAGCCATACTGAGAGGACGGAGGAACGCAATTTAATTGAATATTTGTGGCTCTGCTATGCGTGGGGATTAGTCTACTCCCATCCCCGTTTACTATACCGTGACATTCGTTTGGGATTCGACTACGGTCGAAGGCTTCTGGGGCTCGTGGGAAAACAGGAGCAGAGAGCGCTCTCCTGGATCCTCATCGCCTACGCATACATCATTCAACTTCCCCACATTCCTCATCATTATTCGACGCAGATGGGTTCGATGACAGTCAGACATTGGGAATTGATTCCATAGGCGATTATTTGGTTTTATTCATCATCGTTAAATGCTCCCTGATCAGAAGTTATCCATGACCAGCGCGCCAACCGCGCTCCGCTGCGGTCGGTTTCACTGCGTTGACACGTGATGTAAGAATATCATTGAAGGGAAGCGATAAGTGTGCGACACCGATGGCAGCCTTATCATTATCTGAGTGCCTCTCTTATTTGAAATACTTTCTTGTTTCCTCTCACGGCTGGAAAACGAGCTCAGCGGACGCCTCAATGATACCCTCTCCGCTGGGCCAAAATCACCGCCACCTCTGATCGTTCAGATCGCCCAGATGCAAAACCGAGCTCCGAGCGGGTCCGAGATATCTTCCCCAGATTCGTCCGCTGATTTATTGATCACAGTACATATATCACCCAGTCCCATTTCGAGATTCTCGGAGGTGAAACTATGCCTTCGATTGTCGAGGATGTACTTAAGCATGAGGAAACTCCTCGTCTACCGATGTGAGAGGAGCGAATTCGAAGGCTGATAAGTGATAACTACTAGGACTGAAATCATCGAGGATGCTATCGGAAGAGTCTCCTCTCTGAACAAGAGCGATGGACTGTATTCGTTCATAGTCAGGATTTCGACTAAGGACAGATTTACACTTAATTCGGAGTCTTTCACCGGCCAGACCAGGGCTCAGAGAATTCCTCCGGAGACTTCGGGACTCTCGACGAGGGGGGCTTCTCCTTTCTCCAATCTTCCGATTCCATGTGGTGGATTTCTTAAATTCGTCTTGATCAAAACGAGTTGCTGACTCGCGGAGTCTTCCCTCAAAAGCTGCCGAAACCCCCCCCCCTTCAAGCGTCGCGAACATCCACATACTTCCATGCGCCGGCTACCGTCTTTCTCTTAGGAAATCGGGGTGTCGACGACTCCGACGCGGACGTCTTCGTGGGCTATCTCTCCCTTCTGTGACATGTGGAGGTCACCTCGCACGTAGAGAACTCTGACGTGTTCCACATCGAGGTACTTCCACATGGATGAGCCTGTCTTCCTCCTTGTAAAACTCCTACATGAAATGAGCTGTATGAACCCTCCTGGTGCCTCGCACACGATGGGGGTGGAGTTTGAGAATGTGCTCCGCGGTATCCGGTGGAAAGCACTCAAACATGCGATGCTGTCGAGAACTGATTCTCCCTGAGCCTGTTGTGATTCTCTGGGTCTCCTGACCTTTTCTCCGCCCATTGCTTGAGGAGACTTGCAGGTGCGCCGGCAAGGGGTCGCTGGCCCACCTGCAAGTGACCCACGACTCGACCCACCACCGTCGACAGCGCCGTCGAATGTTCACGTGGCTCCACGGTTCTTCTGGAGGTCGCAGACCATAGCCTCTGCAGTAACCCTTACTGCTCGAACTCACCTGCTTCCTTATGGAATGGAGGATCGAGACCAATCTCGAGTAAGTTTTCGAGGCCTCCCACGAAGCATCGCGATCACAGTGATTGGTCGATTTTCAGAGTTTCCCCCCCCCTTCCGAGATTCTTTGGTCTCAATGCTTGATTACGCACCCCGAGAAGGCGTGTCATCATTTTTGGTCGTCTGGCCCCCTCCAAAACTCGAATTGCCCCCCCCCCCCCCGAAAAAAAACTCCTGTGCGCGCCCGGACGAAAGGGGACCAATTTCATCAAGAAGTAGAACGAAGAACCCCAAGGTACAACAATCAGTTTCAGAAAAAGTAAGCCGGTTAGTCTAACCGCGATCACACCCCAATATTCATCAATCCTGCGTACTCTGACGCATCCTCTGGCAATACGGAGTCGCTCATTAACGTTCGAAGCCTATCCAGAGCGCAAATCGGGGATGCATAAATCACGAACGTACAGGCGGGCGTACGGACAGACATTCAGTTCCATATGTTTAAATAACTAATTGAATAGGCTCTCATCGAACGTTCATCAATCGCTATTCGGATAATTTTTCATTTACAGCGAAGTTGCTGAGCTCAGAGGAGTTTTTGGATTCCTGGCCCATCGTCTCTTCCACTCGGACGGAGCGAAGTTTACAGATCTAGCCATCACACCTAGTCACTGAATACGGGGCCTGGATGCCCGTTCAGGAGGCTGAGGTCCTTGGTCGCAACTCCAAACATTTCCTCGTCACGTCTAATAAAGCTCCATTCTTCGTCTTGTCGGAGGCTTTGAACACCCTCGAAGTTTTGCATTCTTCCCAGTATTGTCCGCTGAGCTCCGCTCCGATTGGGTCCAGACAGAGATGTAGAAGAGTCTGCGCACCTTCCATAGCAGTCTGCGAAATTATTACTCTTACGATACATCTCGTCTATATATCCCAGACTGGGGGCTCTGGTTTTCGGTTTTGGAGAAAACCCGAGGTAAACGTGAAGCACATACCCTTCCGAAGAGAAAGATATTCATCCTGAAGAAAAGATTCGTGGCGTTGTAGCTGTGACTTGCGATCGGTGACGCGACAACGCCCGGATGAACACAATTGACGGCGATGCCTAGAGAGCGTAAGAGGAATTGTTAGGATAACGGGGGATAACCACTCCCATTCCGGAGACGAGGGACACAGAATCAGAATATCCCGCGATCATCGCACCCACCCGAGCCGTCGAGCTCTTCGGCCAAGGCCTTCGTCCACATCAACATCGCGAGTTTACTATCCGCGTAACGATACAGTGCCATGAATCTGCCGGTCTTGATATCGTCCGAGAATGTTGCGGGATTGACGCCACCGAGCAGATAGGCGGAGGAACCCGTGTTCACGATTCTGGCCGGCGCAGATTTTCTCAAGAGAGGCATGAGTAGCTCGGTGAGGTAGAAGGGGCCCAAATAATTCGCCTGGTAGACCTCCTCGAAATTATCTTCAGTCAACCGGAAATCTCCCCCACTTATGCCGGCGTTGTTGACCAGTATGTCACACCTATCTTCTTGAGTCAGGATTTCTTCAGCGAAAGATCTCACTGACTTCAGGCTACAGAGATCGAGCTGCTTGACAGAAACGTCACATTCGGCACTCGACTCGCGGATACGATCCGCTACCTCGTTGGCTTTCTGCATGTTGCGGCAGGCTAATATCACCTTCGCACCTCGTTCGGCCAGGACTTCAGCGGTCTGTGCTCCGATTCCTAGCGAAGTAGGAAGGACTCCAATGAGTGAATTCCGTGCATTCCCACAGATGTTCCTGCCTAAGTTTCGGGCATATATTCCGCTTCACACTCAGGCGGATCCTTGTTCGAGGAGAATGATGATTTCTCTCAAGGAAATACCTGAATTGCCGCCAGTGATGATGACAACCTTCCCGTCTAGCCGGTGCTCGCATTTGCAGCGTCCCATGGTGCATCGGCGGTAGAGTTTCACTCCGATAGCAACGACTACCGGAACTGCGATGATGCATGCTAAGCCGAGCCAATCAACCATTTTCGAACGAATGTCTCCCGGGGTCCCCTGCGGCAGAACGAGAATGATTCAAGTGAGATTCACGACAGAACGAGACGGATGAAAAACGAGGGTAATGTTGGAGCCAGATTGCGGCACGTGATGATGCACTTTGAATCCTTATATTCCCCCTCCTCGGGAGACAGAAGAGTTTCGCACGTAAAAACTGTCCGTTGGCTCCGCCGACGCTATCTGCACCGCGAGCAGAGATGTCACTCGTCTGGAGTCTACACAGCAAGTCCATGACTGGATTCAGCGATGAGTATTCTCCTTATCGGTGCTCGGAATATACGGCCGGCTACGCCTGATAGTAAGGAGTCGGTTGGGTCGAGGCTGTCCTGTTGATGCGAATGTCTTGTAGTCCCGATCAAGTTCCGGAGAATGATCGCATAGAATCGGGCATTGTGCTCCGGGGAACTGAATCGGCGTGGCCTTCCGATACTGAGCTGGTCAGCAGAAGATACGTCGCATATTCCTTCTCTAAGCGACCCCGGTATCATGACGTGAAGACTCTTTGGACTCGTAGAGAGCTGCTGAGACTGCCACAGCTCTTACGCTATGTCCTACGAACAACGGCCCGAAAATGCGAATCTTTCTAGGATGCGCGAAAATGTAAGGAGGGACGGGGACCGGAGAGCATCTCTGACACAAAAGTCCTGAACCGCGCGGGGGGAGAGGGGGGCACGTTGTCAATTATGTATGAAACGCTCGAGTCGATGTCGCTGACACTGTCTCGCTCCCCTATTTTCATTTGCGGGCCCTTGTGGGAACTGAAATCTTTTTCCAACAGACGATTTTCATTCACCACTCCTTCTACGACTCGGACGATAGAGAAACTCACGAGAGTTTCTGGCTCCCGGCCTTGGTTTACGACTTACGACGCTTTTGCGTGCTTCGCACAACTCCCTCAACGCGGGAGCACTCTTTCATTCCAGCCTGACCGTCAGGGATTAAAGTATCACTTCTCCGAAGAGTTGCTGTGTCTTAATCGCGCTCAGAACTGTCGAAGCAATCGATCAACCGGAGGATGATTCTGACTGCTAAGCGCGAGAGCCGGCGGCGATCGACAACTTCCAAGCCGGCTCTATCCGAACGTCCGTTCAGAGCTAGACCCGGGAGCGGTGCAGCTCCTGTGACGACGTGAGCTGCAGATGACCGATACCCCAATGTCTGGGATATCATGCAGCTTTTCGCCCTAATCTTAAGATTTCTCACACGTCCCAGGACGAATGTGTCCAATCAGCCGAATCTTCGGTGAGCCCAAGGCGCCATCTAGCGGTACACTTTAAAGAGAGCTCGCCGGCACGATAAATGAGGATGATCTCCAGAAACACTTGGAACTATCCTCCGTTGGACGTTCGGAATCCAGGCCAGGCTGTCTTATGCTCGAAGGGGTGACGGTCGATATAGATTTCGATATGGTTGTCCTAGAAGTTTGCATTGAAAGCGTCGAGTCGGCGAAAAGAGCATTGAGCTGCGGCGCGGATCGATTAGAGTTGTGCACAGCGCTTTCACAAGGCGGTCTAACGCCGACCGTCGGTCTCTTGAGGGCAAGTTGCTTTTGGTGCTCATTCAGGACGAGAGTCGCTCTTGACGAATAATTGAGCCGGCGTGCGATAGTAGAACATCCGATATCCCCTCATAAGAACTGGAATTCCAGTCCGTGAAGAATCATGCTGGAAGCGTTCCGGTCATGTGCCTGATCCGATGTCGATCGGGCAACTTCAATTACACCGAAGAGGACCTGCAGGTGATGCTCTATGACATAGGATGCCTCAAAGATAATGGAGCAGACGGGTTCGTTATCGGTGGGTTTTTCGGAAACGACGAATGCCTACAAACCTCTATATGACGACAGATGCCCCGCATAAGAGAATCGGGAGTCCGGACTGGACCTGAAGCGATTCGATGCCTCCGGGCGATCGATGCGCAGGGGCGAGAAACTTCGCTCTGATCGCCAGATAGGCTTCTGGAAAACACTTTCTCATCTTATGTATAAATATATGTACAGCAGAACCGTGGTATAAACTTGAGCTCTGAGGGACCAGCCGAAACGGTCCGTTATATTGTGAGGGTTTTGGGGAGCGGCTGCCGGAGATCAAGGGTCCGTTGTACCCAAGAATGGGTTCTGGGGCGGAATGGATCGCGAAAATCATCGGTGAGAGCGCTGCAGCTTCCCTCAGCACGCGTGTGAGGGCGAGAAACTTCGCAAGACGCCCGATACGCTATCGCTCCCGAATTTCCGACGCGCAAGGACAGGTCCGTCATTAATCATACCCGATTTGTTTAGAATGGGAGGAGAGGGGACCGGAGTCTGGGGATTACTCTGTTGTATTCGAGAGTCCGTCATGGGGTCCGTTATGGCCGACTCTCTTTACATTGAAGATCCCTTAGGCTTTTCCGTGGTAGTGCGCCATATCCGGGTCCGTTATAACGAAGTTCTGCTGAACGTTTTTATATGCTCGACGCGTAGACACGTCCCCTTCGAGGTCGAGTTCAGAACATGAGTCCTTTTGCTAAACTCCTCATCTTGATGTTCATCTCGAATGACCTTTGCTCTGGAATTCTTAGCGATCGAGGCGAAATATTCCAGCTGCGGGCTCGGCTTCCAGTGGACCACCGAATAGCTTCGGTCTAGATCCAGACTCCCGCTTCCCCTCGGCAACGCTATGGGAAGGAAACAGCTACTAGGATAGATGGGGGTTCCTTCAACGACAGCCGAAGAGTGAATGCCTACTGAAATAATTTCAATTTAGGAGTGTTGAACGAATCCGGAGAGATCCACGTGGAGAGCTGCAGTCGTCTCCGAGCAGCCTGCGGCTCGCTGCCAGTGACTTTCCACAGGTGAATTGAGTTTTGCGATCGCTCCGTATTCTTGAATGAGCTATTCTGGCGGCGATTTCGCAAGAGGATCTCGCTTCAAATCATGACTTTCCATCACTCAAGACTTCAGAACCGAAGTCGTGAGGGTAACGAAATTCTCTGCGACCGAACAAATACATTCCAGGGCCTTCGATTTTTCTGTAGAATCGATACCTGTCGCCCTTCGGAAAGTGAAACAAATCGGCTGCAGCCGTATCCTGACTTCCGGAAGGGACGTGAATGTCACTGCCGGTAAGTCTCTTTCTGAAATTTCCTCGAGTAGAGAGCGCCGCCGATTCCATTCTGGTCAAGAACGGAGCTACCGCCGAACTGCAAACCGCTGCAGCCGTTTCCGTCAACCGCAGGCGAAGAAAATTTGAAGGAGCTCGTTCGAGCATCAGCAGCTCTCGGTATCACCATCATGCCTGGTGGAGGCATCACTTTGGAAAACATCGATCGTATTGCGAAGAATACCAAGGTGAGCAACCCTGATCTATCACGAGATCGCTCAAGAGCGTCGGCGTCAATGACCGTCGGTCGGCAGCCATGAAGATCATTCAGACGACGCGTGGTCTTGCGAGTTTCTAACCAATTGGATTGTAGGCAGATGAGCTTCATATGAGCGCTTGTCTCAAGGAAGTGCAGCAGATGCCAGGGATGGGGCTGCCGATGACAACGAATGTGTCTGTGCTCCGGGAGGCGTTGCGGAAGCTTCGCGATTCCGGGGCTGAACGAAGCGATGTTCCTGAGTGAAATATGACCGAGGACATCAGAGCCTCGATCCCCTCGATCGGCGAACGCAGTGATCGGGGAACGCGTTTACGTATGTGTATATTCTCCCGACTCCGATAAATGTCTTTCGGTATTGATCTTCTCTCTATCCGGGGTCAGGAAGAGCAGAACCTAAAATTGTCAGCGGTCGGATCAATCGAGCTGCCTCCGCAGTTTGTGGGGACGCAAGTTGAGAGAGCTGAGGCTTGAGCGCTGGGAACCTTCTCAAAGCGTTCCTACGTCCTGGATTGGCGTTGCGCCAGCTCGATTGGCTAAGTCGCTGTGCCGCACGGTGACTCACTGATCGCGGAACTTCTATCTGTTAGCGAACCTGGCTGAGGGACCGTGCGCCGGTGAGATGCTTCGGGAGATCCCAATTTTTGAATGCACTCGACAAGAAAAAAAATTCCGCCAAGCTCCAAGATGTAGCTTCTCGTGAAATCTGCGCCGCGATTTATCGAGGGAGGGAGATGAGATTTTCCGATCAGCCGAGGTAGTATGAAATAGGTCAATGAGTTAATGGGCTTAGATATCGTAAGGGTATTTGGGAATCGTTGAACCCTAATCGGTGCATCCGAATGACCGGAATCCCGCCTCTTCGACGTGACAGCACATAATTTGCTGTGACTCGTCAGGGGTATGGAGGAAGGAGATCCATCGACCCAATCGTGAATGCAGGGACGCGGCGATTGTGCGTCTCGCATCGCCGCCGATGGGTTTCTCCGATGCCGAGTACTGATGAGCAAGATCAGACGGAATCGAGAAAATCATCAGTCTTCTAGAAGGACGGTGAGTCCATGGTACGGAACTTCGTTCCTTGGAGCTCGGCACGACGCATCAATGAGACCCTCGCTCTGGACCTCCAGTACCCCACTATTGATTTCTCCAAGCTCCGCGTTTTCACCGGCCTTCCTCGCCATCTCGCCATATCTCACTCAAGTGATTGATTCGTCGGTCCAAACACGAACTCTCTGAGGGTCGATTGAGCTTCGTGCACACGAGCGGCCCGGGAAGTATTGCTGAAGCTTCAATCGCATTGAGAGAGATCAGCGCCTCGCTTCTCGAGAGCGTGATACCGGTGTAGTACATCTGTCCTTGCTTCTAGACCTGAGTTCGTAGACACTTGCGAGATGCTGGTCTGAGAGATCTCGCGAGGTTGAACGGCTCGCACCTTTTCGCGCGAGAATGGATCCTTGACCCTTTCACGGAGATGTTCGCTGGAAGATTTTCTGAATGACGCTGCATTAGACCAAGGTTGCATGCTCCGAGAAAATCATACTGTTGCGGGATCTACAGAGTCTGATATTCTCGAGTAAAGACTCCCGCCTGCTTCCGATGGAGGATCACAATAGCTATCATCGATCATGAGATCAGGTAACTCAGCTGATAGGGGAATTCCGATCGGTTGTCGGAAGGTGAACTCCCACGGAGGAACTCAACGATGCGGTTGCGCTGAGAGGAGATTTCCGAGCGCGGCGAGGAGCTCGACGAAGGAGATCGCCGAGACCACGACGTGTGAGAGGGCAGACGCGCTCGAAGAGCTGCTTATCCTGAGGAAAAGCTCCCGGGAAGAGGGTGCTCTACCTGAGAAAATTCGGCGATCAGACGCAACAATCGGAATCCGGAGCGTTGCATGAGGATCTCGGAAGGTCTCCGCGAGAACACATGTTGAAGGTTCCATACTGATGATGGGCTCAGATACGAATTTGCTGGTGAAAATGACCGCTTGAATTTTATCGCTCTATAACGAACGAGCGACAATAGCGATAGAATGAAGGGGGCTTCTACTTGATGATAATGATCGCCGCTATCGATGACGCGACCAGGGTTCCAGGAATAGTTTAGCGAAAAACCTAGTGGTTATAATCAAATGGTCTCATGGGTATGTCATATGGTATGTGCTGTCGGCTGAGCAGGGAGAGATCTGATCGACGGGAAGATCATGGCGACCAGGGAAGCTCTCGTTATGCGGAGAGGCGATTGCAAACCGCTAACTCGGAATGAGATCTGTACTCAGGCGCGTCCATACGATTTTTTTTTGGGAGGAGGGCAGCCGATTTCTTGAGTCGCATCAAAAAGAACAATTTCTCGATTTTGTCCGGAGATGGTGATTCTCAAGATAAAGCACGAAACCCCGTACTTACAATCATGACCATAAGTGAGGGGAATGCAGGAACTTCAGATTTTAATCTATCACAAAGAGCACAACCATCGAACTATTCGAGTATTAATTTACTTCCCCGAAACTACTTCACAAAACAATTTCAAACTTTCTCGGATTAGCCGCCATGCAGTCCACAATCTCTTCAACAGTAAGCGGCATCTCTCGATGAATTTTCAAAGCCGTCAAGCCATTCAATCTCTCTCCTTTTATCGTACTCCGAAGATCTGTTTTCAGCAATTTGAGTGAGCTGAAAGTGCGTCCATCTGACGACAGGTCGACTGAAAATCGTTGGGGGGGGGGGGCATGGCCCCTGGGCCCCCCCATGGACGCTACTGTCTGTACTATGCAGACAAGGACATTGACGTCGGAGGAGAGCGCGATCTTCGTGTGAGAGGGAAGGATTTCAAGTCAGGAAATCCACGGAATTATTCATCTTCCGCTATCGATCGCGGCAGTACACTCAGCAGACAAAAATCTCAGGTCTCATGGAAAGATTCATATCAGAGTGAAATTCGCCTTCTGCCAGGTCCGCGGACGAAGAATTGCCTGAGGAATACAGCTGAAAAATTTAGCCAGTGAGCATTTCGAAGAAAACACGTTCATTCGCTAAGCATGCGGGCAAGGGAGAATTAGGTCGATGAGCTTTAAATGCCTTCAGAATTAGAGGGGCCAGGAGCGCCGACTGGCAGAGCGGGTCGCAGACTGACAGCAGAGAACTTCGACGGCATGACAAGGATCTTCTCCGCGGGTTGTTCCGAATTTTCCGGAGGGTTAGGATCGCATGATGCAGAAGATGAAGCGGTAGATTTGCAGAGAGGCGATGGAGCAGCGACTCTGCAATCAGCTCGAGCCCAGCATGCATCATCGTCTTCATTGACTATCCGCCATCTAAGTCTCTCAATGAGCCTGGCTTCTCTCTGATACCGTCGGAAATACCGAGGAATGTGCTCCTGGAGCTCTGATCCGACAGTAGGAGGGGAAGCGCCTGTATCAAATCTCGGGAACTTGGCGGCATGCTCGTACTTTCGGTGCGGAGCCACATTGTTCTACGCAGTCCAAGTCCCCTCTCCGAAGTGCGTGGACCCTTGGAGGTGCGCGAGAGACGAACCCACCGGAACTGAATCCACGAAAACTGATAATAGTTAACGGATTTATAGCGAGGGAACAGTGAACATTTGACATCATATCATTTTCCGGATAACTTAAGAATAAAATGGGGGAATCGAGGCACGGAACGTGGAACACAACAAAATGAGGCTCTAGATTCTATGTAGCGCTACGGAGCGCCGCAAGACGACTATTCGGACGATTCTCTCACAGCTCTCGCGAGTTCTTGAAACACATGTGACCTCGATGTGATTCCGAGCATTCCGTCGACACGTAATACTTCTGCCTCGGTCGCATATCTTGTGATTCGAACCTGCTTGCCCTATCAATGCACGAGAAGGTCTTGTTTATCCAATCGTATAGCTCTTGGGAAAAGAGCGGGAGCTATCACCAACGTGTTTTAGTCGCAAGTCTCAATCCTCTTCGGAGCGAGGATCCAGTGGCCCAAATGGGAGAAGATCACGAAGGTCCTCGATGTATATACATGCTTTATTGAATGAACAATGAAATACACCCAGTGACGATCTTCTGCTACAGATTCTCCTGTCAGCAGTTGCATAGCTAGAAAATACGTCCGTGAGCATTCGGCCTCCAGGTCGAATTCTCATGGATATATGTTCTAGGTACGCCACTGCCTGTCCGTATCATCCAAAAATTAAAATGGCACAATTGAGAGATGGAATGGCGAGTCGATTTGGAGTGCCTGTACTCGGCGGATATATCTCCCTGGTTTGGGAACGGTGCGTGAACCTTACTCGCGGGCTCCAGCGGCAAGATTCAGAGCCTCACTTGGCCGCTCTGAATCTTTTCGTAGAGTTCCGGAGTTAATCTGACATACTTCATCGACTTCATGTCGAGGAAGAAAATCGGATCCGAGACAGACTTGATATCGTAACCTTCTTTGACTAGTTTCGTCTTCTGCAGTTTGTACGTCCCGGTTGTTTCAATGTGTTTCGTCAGCCTTATGAAGAGGGGCAGCGCATAAGATGGCAATTCGTTTGAGATCTGTGAAAGAAATCAAGTATCAGTCGAAGCAATGTTTCCAGCCTTCCCGTGGACGTTGAATGGAGGGAGAGCCTCTATCGGTTCGGAGTTGGGATTTAATCCGAAACTGAGATCAGCCTACCTTCTTCAATAATTCTTGGAGGTCAACTCCTTGATCTTGGTCGATGATGGTGGCCATTCCAGCCTTACCCTCGCAGTTCGGTATCTCCACCCCTATCACAACGCAATCGAAGTGATTCGCGTACTTGCTCACAACACCTTCGACCTCGGCGGTCGAGACGTTCTCACCCTTCCAGCGATACGTGTCTCCAGTACGGTCTTTGAAAAACAAGTGGCCGTCGTCGTCATATAATAGAATATCCCCCGAAGCGAAGCATCGGTCGCCTTTCCGTACGACGTCGCGGTAAATCTTCTTCTCCGTGGATTCCGTGTCAGTATAGCCATCGAACTGGCCCTCGGGCTTGCGCGTGATTTCGGCAACGAATTCTCCCGGCTCATTCGGCCCCACGAGAATGCAGAGACCATCGGGGCCTCGCAAGGGTTCTCCGGTCTCCGGATGAACTTTGATGATAAAACGGTGATAGAACAGGTTCGCTACCCTCGTACTGAGCCTGCAAATCGTCGGGTAAATGCCGACGCTGCCCGGAGTCCCATCGAGGTTCATGCTGTTGCCGTTGCTCTCCGTCGCGCCGTAGATCTCTCGGATATACTTGACGCCGAATCGTTGCTGGAAAGGAATCCACATTTCTTTCCTCATGCCGTTGCCGACCATATTACGGATCTTATGCTGCCGATCTTCAGGTTTTCCTGGCTGTAGATACAAATATCGGCAAACTTCTCCGATGTACTGCGTAACGGTGCAATCGTGTTTTATGCAGTCTTTCCAAAAGTTGGTCGCGCTAAAACCGGGAACGATGACGGCTGTCAACCCGAAGAGCACGGTCTGAGACATCTGCATGACTCCACCCGCAAAATGATACAGCGGCAGGTAGCAATAAGAGACGTCGTCATCTCTCCAGTCGGCCAGGAATCGAGAAGCTCCCGACGTCAAGAAGAAACGAGATTGCCGTAAGCGAGCCGCTTTCGGGAGTCCAGTCGTTCCAGACGTGTAAACGTAGAGGAGACAATCACTTAGTTTTCCATGGAATTCAGGATGCTCGGATGAGCAGCCCATTATGTCGGGAGAGACGTCGTATCCAACCATTTTGTCCCCGCGTTCTTGGTGCTGTGGGCTTCCGAAACGGTATAGTTTCGAATTTAAAGTACCCTCTAGGCTGCTGGAGATCTCTGCGATCTGGGATGCCATTTCAGGACTGAAGATCACAGCTTTGCTATTCACCATTTTGGCGCAGTGCAGTAGAGGGTCGCCGCGGAGATTCGTGTTTATCAGTGCTGAGGCGACACCTATTTTCGAGAGGCCGAGCCAGATGAGGACTGACTCGGGACGATTCTCCATCATGAGCGCGACATCGTCCCCGGCTTTGAGACCGCGGCTGCTGAAGTAATTCGCGATTTTGTTCGTGAATTGTTCCGCTTCTGAGAACGACCATTTCCGATCGCCATAGATGAACATTGTCTTTTGCGGGACCTTGCTCGCTTTCTCCCGGAACCACATCGGAACGGTTTTTTGACGAAAGTTGACATAGCGGATGAAAGTGACATATTTGCCGAATTTCCAGAACGCAGCGATATCCCGAGCTGACGTGCGAGCCACGAGATGGAGCGTTTTCCACATCTCGTTCTAGGGCGCCCCGTTCAGCAACACTCTCTTCACTTCACGGCTTGCTCTTGTCACGTGATATCCAACGGAAACTCGAAGATTTTTCCGGCGATCCAGAGAGCTAGAGAGGCTCACTGAATTCTGGGGAGAAAAAAACATACTTGGAGTACTCCATTATTTTCGGCCATACGGGCTGATAAACGCAGAGCCGCGCAACGTGGCCGCTCGTGAACGGCCCGACACCGTTCCTGGTCAAGAGTCAGGAGCTAATAGACTATTGCTCGGGCCGCTAGATGGCGCTCACAAGCCCCATCCCTAGCACTCCCCATCGGCGAGACGGCGGCGAGCGGGCAGCTTTTCACGCCTTCCACCTCCGACGGCCGTTTAAAGGAATGGTCATCTTTCCACTGTTCTAGAAAGCGTCTCGGCCTCCCCGAGTGTCATTTCCCGCGGGGGATGAATTATTGAGTTTACTCAGGACGGTATCGAGATCATCACGCGGATTGGCAAAGCGGTGCGAGCTCCGTACTCACTTGTCTCACCGATCCTCAGACGCTCCCGCTCCAGTCGAAACCACCGACGATAAGTGCTCATCGAGCGCACTTGCTAGCGAGCGAAAGCGACTTCGAGGGTCACCTGGCAAGCAGATCCGATTCCCTCCAGTGGAATGTTTTGAAGTTTCGGATGTCACTGTTACATAGGTTCTAGGAGCGGGGAGTCGCGACTCATCGACGCGCTACTTCCCGTACCGCAGTATCCATTCCAGATTGAATTAGGAATCAAGTGATTCTCGTCCTTCAAACTGATCTGTAGCCGCTGACCAAAAGCCACTAGCTCTCGAAAGAGCCTTGCTCTGAACGGAATCGGGATTCTCAAGAGAGGGACGATGCCTGAGCTCGGAGAGAGAGAATATCACGGTGTGAAATTAAATCTCGGGCTGGTCAATCGAGCTTTGCCGGAGTCCGACAACCATGAAAGCTATGATTCCTCTTGCTACGTCCATCGCTGTAGATCTCGGAATAGACCTCCCGGGGAATGCCTTCCGTGCTTAAGAGCATGGACTGCGCTAGCATTATGGCTCAATAAAATTATTATGGGATATAGGATTACGTTGTTCCGAGCCATTTGCGGAAGCGGTTCTGCGGAGAGTCTCTGAGAACGGCAGGATGCGACGAGGCGTCGATCAGAGTCACTCTGATCCGGTGTGATCTTCCCCGCGAAAGCGCCCCCATCAGTCGCCCGTCTCATGTCCTCGCTCTGGGCCGTTCTTCGGGAGTCCTCTATCGAATGGATCTGTGAGCTCCGCGCGGGGACGAGTAAGCTGAAGCCTGAGATTTGTTTTGACCGGTCTTCAAGTCTCAATTCTTGTGGACCGCAGCCATGAGCAGAGAAAATAGAGAGGAAATTTCCATCCTTCGTCGGTACGGAAGAAATCATCTGAGATTCTACTATTCTGTTCGACTACCATCCAGAGTCCAGCGATTTCTCTCAAACTCCCATCCTGGTCCAGCCCGGGGACCATACAAGCGAAATAGCCCAAAAAAATGTGTAGACGGTTTTCAGTCTTAGAACGCCCGCAAAACGTGCCATTCTCGCCCTGGAATACTTGCCGGCGATCGAACCTTCTAGCCACAAAAACTAACCTTGAGAAAATCGAAACGTTCCAGGTTCTCGAATATATCGCGCGTGTCCCGAATGAGGATCCTCTCGATCACCGTCTCGTGAAAGCAAGCTCGTTCGATGTTGCTCGAGTGCTTCAGTTGTTTTGGCTGACTGACATCATTATCAACGACATCTGCATCAAAGGCGACAGGGATCAAGGAAGCGGCTTCGCGAAGGCCGGGGGCATCGCTTTCTCGATGTTTTGAAGCGTGAACTCCGATGAGACGACTCACGAAGTGCCTCAAGCAGTGGAACAGACTTTGCGAAGTCGCTTGACCGCTCTCACGAATCTCTAGGGAAGAGGCTCAGCTGTGGAATGTCCACGTCCCTTGGGAGGAGGATGAGGGGAGGAACCAATTAAAATAAACAAACAAACAATCAAACTGCAACTCCTGTGTGACGGCACGCGACAGGTCACGTCTCCTTTTGTGCGGATACGCACTGGAAGATTCCTGATTCTCTAATGTATTTTCAGTTTTTTTCCTTCCTGCAGAGCATCGGTTTCATCCCTCCGGCAGCCCACCGGGTGCGACGGAACCTACGTTTCGACGCCTGGCAAGGCTCGGGCGCACGAGGAGAAGCCGTCTTCTGAGAGGACAGAGTCAACGAATACTAATCGAAGGTCTTTGCTTATGCCGGAGTAAATGGCATTGCTATCAGCGCAGCAGAATAAGACGGCATAAAAGGAAGAGCGCGACAAGAAGCGCCGATTCAGGAGAGTTGTGTACACGTTGCGGTGTGGAGCACTTAGCGTTCTCTCATCACATTGTCTCATCCTTCTCACCCTTCATTAGCTGCCGCCTGATGTCCGCGAGGATCGCTTTGGACTGGAGGAAAATTGGGATTTCCTGTGCAACCGTGCTGTCGGCGCTATGGGCTAGCGATGCTGTCGATTTTCAGCTGGCTATTTCTGCCGCCTGAATGGTTTCGCTCAGAGATATCGGAGCTTGAAGCGAGTTCCCCAGGAATGACAAGTCGAGAGGCCAAGCTTTGAGTCATTTATGACAGGAAAGGTTCACGATGCGAGAGCCCTAGGACACCTTCCCGGACTAAATATCGGAAATGAATACATTGACACGGGCAATGAGCTTCGCTATTCAATACGAAGCCGCCGGGTTGCTCCTCGGATGCTTGTCCATTCCGCTCGGTTCGTAACTTGAGAAATAATAGGACAACCTCGATGACAGCAACATTCCCTCATAATCAGCTTCGCATAGAAGTCGGTTGCCAGAGATGACATACCGATCACCGGTATTGAGCCTTGAGAAGTAAGAACGGATTAGGAACATTCTATAAAGATGGTCATCGATCGCCCCCCTGACGAACGAACGCATCGAAAAGTGGACACAATCACCAGAATCGTCCGAAATCCCTACACACCCTTTCCGGCAGTGAAAACAGCAGAAACAACGAACGTGGTAAACGTGAGACGAACTCCTCATCACCAGCTCACTCGCCTGTATGGCCTCAAAACAGCCGGAGCACTGATTATCCACACCGAACTTCCTGTGGACAGGATTTCGAAAGCTTGTAAGCATCAATATCCGAAATCTAAGGCAGCATTTGAAGCTCAAGGGATGGAACTCACCTGAGATAATCCTCCCTGCAGAAGAAAGCGCCGTGTTTCTCGAATAAAGATGTCGTCAAACGACACCCGCAAACGGAGCACTTCAGACAGTCTTGATGCCAGAACTTGCCGACGACTTTCATTATGAATCTTGACGCATGGAATATTTCGAATTCGATTGAGGCATTCAAAAAATTTTAGAAACTAGACGTCAACAGACTCCACCATAGGAGTGGACCCCGCCATCTGGTTTTACCTTTCACTGATTTCTTTGCCGCAGGAACTGCACGGGAAGGGGCATCCGATAGCTCCGGTCGATTCAAATCGCGGACTGTCGAGCCCCGCGTCCCTAGCACAGCTTTCCAATGGTTTTCCTTGCTCAGAGTACCCGGACGAGGCTGAACCTGTTGAAAGGAATGCTTCCTTCTTCTCAAAATGGTTCGAGATCTAGGAATAATTTCGGAATCCGCGGGAGTCAGAGCATCGGAAGACCGTTTTCGGCATCCAGTATTCGGATGGGAGACTGTTATGAAAGTACATATTGAGGAAGACCCAAAATCTATCGACATCTGTTCCAGGAAAAGGGAATTTGGCTATTTCCCCCGAGGTGACAGGCAATTAAGGCAATTTCTCACCCGACATCCCCCAGTGATTGGAGACACGCGCGGTCGTCGGGAGGTACGTACTAATCGAGGAATTTCCGAAGCTCGAGTGTCGCATGGCCCCTTGGACGGACGCCGGTCGAGGTCCGGTTGATTCTAGCGACGGAAAACGCGCGGAACAATCACCGTGAGCTTTAATGAGCGAAGGCGTGACGGAACCTCTGAGTGTCCGGAGGTGCTATTTCGAATTGTCACATACCTCAGGTCGGAGGAATGAGCAACACATGTCCGCCGGTGCGCGGACTCTTAGCGAAGCTCGACCCAAGTCCCGCCTCCTCACAGCTGGCGCGTGCGCGGTGCGGGCTCGGCGGTTTTCAGTACTTACTTATCTATCTCGACCCGGTCTGCAACCCGGATCGGATTATTCGTTTACGCGGCTTCTCGAGTGCTCGATGGCGGGAGGAGAAGCGCGAATGATGAAATGAATAAAATGTAACGTTCCGCCGGAGTGAATAATCTCGTGGACGGAAGGATGAATCTATATGCGGCTTGATCAGTTCCAGAATGAGAGCTTCGGCTCATCGCTAGGGAAAAGGATCGAATGAATCTTCCGGAGAAACATTGATCCCTACTCGATGATCCGAATGGGAGGCTCCGCGTTGCCTCACGCTGCAGAAGTTGGTCGCTAGCCAGTGACACAAAGAGTCCAACAGTCGTAGCCATACATTCGCTTGTTGAATTCTGAGCACTTGTCCACCCATTGAGTGTGATAGCGGGTTTGCTACATCTCCGTAGACAAAGCCATCTACGTGACCAGTTTCCATTCCGCTGTGAATTGTGACCACGCCCGTACGCCCACCCACATTCTGAATTCTATTTGTTCGGCACCCCATGAAGCCAGTCAGGTATCGACATTCTATGCGCGTTTGCGCTAATTACCGGGTTGCGAGACCTACAACTACTCGCAGATTAAACCGGGTAATTTTTCGTTGAACCCACCGATCACGTATCATTCTTGAATTCGGAGTCGCTTCGTTGGGACTGGATTCGAGCCCGATAACACGGAGGCTCGAGGGGATTTCCATTGGCTTGGGATCAGGTTCATCGAGCTACTGTAACGGACTCGGGGCGATAAGGCAGGATCTCCCATCAATTCTACGCAATGATTGCTCGACTCTTTTCTCTTATGATTCTTATCCAGAACCTGTCTAGCGCGTCTGTGCGATTTCGGTGTGATGGATAAATTCGAGAGAGGACAACTTGAGCTATGAAGAAGAAGACAAGCCTGCTGGAATCCTGGCAATCTCGGTCATCGCTGTTCGTCGGGGTCGGGCCATGGGAAACTTTGGGAATTCCCGCGATATCTACAATTACTCTAACAAAAAAAAAGGAAAAAAATCTACTTCTACAATCAGCTGCTCCCCTCTCCCCCACCCTCTGGCCGCGATCCTGACGGGGAGAGCGGTGGCAAGCGTGAGACGGGTCACTCAAGTCTGCTTGTCTCTATCAAGGGTGAACACGAATTGGAGGGTGTCTCGGCCGAGAAGGATGAATCGGCGGAGCGCATCTGATGAGCTCTGCAGACGAAATGCCTCTCGTCAGCTGTGCTCGTCGGAAGCCCCTCCACGAGATTATTACCTGAAACCTCGACGTCTTGCTATCACGCCTCCATTAAAGTCGATCTCTCTCGGCCTCGCCCCGAATGGATCGAATCGTACGAGACCGACGGGAAAAAGGGTGGGAGCCCGAGAGAGTATCTTTTCGGTGTTAAACCACCAAATCTAAGTCGAGATATTCTCAAGATTTCCGCAGCAGGCCTCTAGTTCGAATGTGCGTGGCGGCGTTGTCGCTCTTCGCCTCGTTTCATCGGGTATAGACCCAGTAAGCCGAAACTTTCACGCCGAAACCCAGAAAGCCGAAACCTGGAACGCCGAACCCCAGAACGCCGAAATTCGCCTACCCGAAACCCAGTACGCCGAAAGTTGAGGTAGCCGAAGCCCACTACGCCGAAAATTCCTTCTGGCGGAAATACCGATCACACGTTCCGAGGGAATACAAAAAGCTTTCATCGTACCGTCCTCTCGGTTAATCGTTTTGAGATACACAAAAATGGGAGAAGCACGGAAGTTCCGACAATGGAACTGCTACAAGCAACTCTGACTTACACCCCGGAAACTCAATGATTCTATGATTCGAGATAAAGGTGTGCTCTCGAGTCAACCTACTCCATGGCGGCAAAGGGATGGTGCTGAAGAGCCGATGTAGGGGGGGGAATTACGGAAGGAGCGAGGGTTTCGTTTGTGATAATCGCAATGCGATCCAAGGGATCTGGAATCTCTGTAAGAGGTACCGGGCCAGCACCGGCAACTCCTCGAAACTCCGTCAGAGAACGAATCGAGAGGGGCCCGACCGTTTCCCATCTATCCTACTACGGTAGATGTTCCTCGAAAGGGAATTGAAGGGACCGGCAAAAACTCTTCGTTGTATTCATACTAGTTTGTATCCGATGATGGTATCTGAGGTGGAACGGAAGGTGAGAATCATCGGTGATACCGCTGCAGCCTCTCTCGCGACGCGCACAAGGGCGATAAATCTCGCAAACCGTCCAATGGGCTACCGTCTCCGGAAATCCCCTTCGCGAGCAGCGGTCCGTGATGAATCACCATTAGAGCTCGGAAGTTCAGGCACTTGGAAACTGCCGAAAAGGGCAGGCAAAAAGGCACTGAAATACCTTAGAATAGGCACTAAAACTGGGCAAAACAGGCGTGATAGGCAGGGCAAACGCCGCATCAAACCGTTCGTCAGTGCCGTTTGATGAGGAATCCACGTGATCTTCGGGAGTCGTATCGGTCAGTAATCGTGGCCGGACTTCAGCGTCTGGGTGGCTCAAGAATGCACTTCAGGCGCGGAAAAACCTAAAAAGGTATTTTCGATGGAACAGCGTCGAAAAACTCGGCCATAGGCATTTATGGCAAAATGCCTGAACTTCCGAGCTCTACTAATCATGATCATGGGTCGTAAGTTATAGCTTTTTAACCGATTTGTTGAGTTATCATGAGAGGAGATCGGACCGGGGCCTGGAAATCGGTCGATAATATCCGAAAGTCCTTTTCGGGTCCGCCATAGCCGGGTCAGTTAAGAGTGATTAAGAGTAGATCCCAAAGGTCTGTTCTACGGGAGTGCTTCCTTGCTCCTCATTAAATTCAGGTCGATAATAAAGAGAATCTACTTTAGGATGATGAAGGTGCTGCCGACCTTGGCGGAGACGAGTGACGGGCTGCTCACCCCTTGAACTCCACTGACGATAAGTCCTGCATCGATCCGATTCCACCTCATTTAATTAATTAATTATCCAATGTAAGTGTTCGTGGGGACAGCAGTGAAACGGGGAGAAGGCTCGGAGAGGACCGTGCGCCGTTGGATAGACGCGGTCGAAGCTCATGTCTTTCCCAGCCATTTCCTCGGATAACCGCTCCCGTTGGAAGCGGTGGGCGGAATAAATCCATCAGGAGAGCGATGCGAATGATTTTTTAGTGAAAGATTTCTCTTCTTCCGATGCCTTACTTTGGAAAACTTGGGAAACCGCGGAGAAGTCAACGGGCGAATACGGGAGTGCGCGGTGGAGTACCGGCGCTGTTCTGAGTCAGTCGAGATTCGGAGAGGCACGCCTTTCCGACAAATAAGTAAGGGTCGGAGTGCGACACCGAATTGAGCATAGAGACATTCTCGGATCGTTCGTGCAAATCAGCCGGAAAAGCAGAAGTCCACAGCACATCGATGCTTCGAAGGTCAATAACTCTCATCAGGCCATTGGCGAGCTCGAAGACCTCCGTCCCCCGACCATTCTCGACCACAAATCGTCTTCTGAAAGACGACAAGAAAAAAAACGAAGACGAGGATGAGATCGACAATGAGCCCTATGAGTACTCAACGTCGGATGCGGCTAAGTGGAAGGCAGAATACACTAATCAGTAAGTCGACTACAAGAGCCATTCGATTGCTGCTGGACGAGTGCTCGCTGACGTATCCTGTATCATGCGACATGCGTAGCTGTCCAGTGTACGGGTGGCTGCAGAGAGCGGGTCACCACTCAATGAGAGCACATCGAAAACCTCAAGCACACCGGTGCGAGGTGACACAAGCCCGAGATGATTTCCCCTCATTAAGGACGATTGCTTTTCAGCCCCAAGACGGACGCTCCGGATATCCAAGGACCGATCGTCGCGGTCTCGCTGAGCGTCTTCATGTTATACTTTGCTTTGATCCGAGAAGAAAATGACATCGACGAAAGACTTTATCAGCCTCTGGAGGTCACTCTCACTGGTCTTCAGAAGCCTGAGTGATCCTGAAGAGCACACATGTATAGATGAACAGCCCACTCGATTCTCAAGTGAATTCAAAGCGTAGAATAAAGGAGTAATGTTGATTCAAGAGAAGAACTCTCTACCTTTGACTCTTGACGAGTCAAATTGCTCGCCGCGAATAACCAGCTATTCCATCCTCCGTTAGAGTTCATGGAAGGGTTCCAATTGGTTACGCCGGATACATACGACAGTAACGGCCTCGATCCTCCCCGAGAACATCAGCTCGCCGATTGCTTGAGAGTATTCTCGAGTTATGCAGCGTGAGCTCCGATACGGGGTGCTGAAGACGACCGCAGAATATTTCAGGAACCAAGCTGATGCTCGCTTAATTTGCGGATGAGCATCCTAAGCTAATCTCCGAAGCCGGGATGGTGTCTGGATCTGCTCCGTGGATACAATGATTGATCTGGAGAGAATTCCGCAGATCTATCGATGCGTGGAGCGACTCAACCCCATCGTGGGCAACGCACGACGCGACGGAGGTATAGAGCGAACAGATCAAGAATGTTCCCCACTTTCTCCCCCTGAAAATGACCATGGAGTTGGACCACTCTCTTGAATTTATTCTGGTGTGCCATCCGAATCGCTCGCTCCTTAGTGGAGAGACGCTCTCACAATTAGATGAACGGGCGAGCGCTATCCTAGAACTCGAGACCACACCGTTCCTGCAATTTTCCAGGGGGGAAGCTCCATATACTCAACATCTACGACAACGGAACCACTTAAACGAAGTTCGTAGGTATGATATAGGTTTACAAGGACGATTTTTTATGAAGGGGAGCCGCGACAGGGTGATTGACAAGTTTCGAGGAATCGCTTCTGTCGGTCGATCAGTTCGGCGCATAGACGAGAGAACTCTTGACGACTCGTCCGGTCCTCGCTCTCGAAGTTTTTCAGAGTCGACTCGAGATGATCCTTCTCCTTGTGAGCCTCCCGCACATGCGCGGCGTATCGTTCCAGGAGCTGAAGAGAGTCAGAGACGAGTTCTTCGCGAGCTTTTGCTGAGCTCATCCTGAAGATACTGGAGCAACTTTTAGAAATTAACCTCTGAAGTTTCCCGGCTGCTTTTCTCGAAGCTCTCACTCAGTAGATGCTCCATGCTCTCTTTGTAGAAGTCACAGGAATCAAGTTTCCCTCTGAGGTTCTCAATCTCTCCTAGAGCCCGTTCGTATCTCTCTCGGTGATTCGCTGACAGAGCTGAGAGCAATGCGCATAGGATTTCGTTTATCCTCCGCGAGAAGCAGAGCTTTCCCTCGAGCTGGAATCGACCGGGAAACTCTCAGATCTGATTTATGAAATGATCTTCCCCGATGCATGCCGGGAGAGAGCAGCTGTGGTGGTTCTTTGGTTTAGCGATCGAGAATCGCGCAGAAAAACATCAGGAGCTGCGCACGGCAGAATAGGGGAACAAAGACTCACGAGCTCGATGCAGGCTGCCTGTTGCTTCCGGACAGATTCGAATTTCAGTTCCAACCAATGAAAACTATTGCCTTGCTCGACTAAGTGTTGAGTGAGCTGGAATCAGGAGCGTGGCATAGGTTTCTCTCGAAGGCGGGGGAGTGCGGCAGGACCCCTGAACCTTCCGCTTCTGCCAGCGGAAGGTTGAGGGGTCCTCTGGGGAGCATCTGACGAGCGCTCCTGGAGCGCTCAATGGGTTCAGCAAAAGGGGCCCATAATTTCGAAGCACTGCCTTTCACTTTGTGCCAACGCGGGTGTCTCAAATCGGCATCAATCTCGAAGTCGAATCCTCATTACCACTATAAGAACCGACTCGAGACTCCCTGAGTAATTCGTGAGTCGCAGTCGAGAAATAGACTCCCGGCCTGATTGTGTTAAATTCTTTCAACTCGAGTATCAAACCTCACCTTCGATATGCTCTGCTCTTGATCGGAAATATTCTGTGTTAAGCGATCGATCTCCAAGGATTTCTGAGAGTTTTCCGTTGTGAGAGCATCGACCCGGTATTTGAGTTCCGACAAGACCTCGTCGACTCTGGGTCCGAGGTCGTCCATGGCTCCCGAGCCTTCACTCGAATTCGATTTCTTGAAGCACGGAACTCGGTCCCTTGAACGTTCCGCAATCGGATGTTGTGATTCAAAAGAGATGTCCGCTCGCTCCCTACATTCGGATGTGCCGCCCTAGGGCAATTCGAGAGTAACGTCGGAACTTCGACTGAAATCCCACACCTTCTGCCGGAATTTCAGCAGGAACCCTCACCAAAGGCAGACTCCCGCGACGGCGGATTCTCGTCGCAGGATTGTGGTGTAATGTCTTGATCATACGTTCGGGGACCTCCGCCGGAGAGAATGCGTCTTTGAGGCTTTCCGCTGACTTCGGGGAGCCTACACCGGAAATGGAGCACTCGTTTCAACCTTTCTCCCACTCGTGCCCAACCAATGTCGATTACTGGTATGTCTCGGACAGGTTCGGCTGAAGCCCTGCTCCTCGAACTCTGTGGCGTTCTCCATGCTCAGGAAAAAGAAGTTTTCAATTCGAAATTCAATGCCGTTACGCCCTCTCCTTCGACTTCGGTCTACACTTCGGCAATCCGGACACCCCAGATGTATCGTCCTTTTTGTGGGTCACTACAAGCGAAAGTCCTGGAAATACCCCAGCGAGCCCTTCATCCTTGGATCGGAATCTCATGCTTGGTGAGGTGCACAGAGAGCGCCGACGATTCGATGAGAAGCTTGCAGGGCTCACTTTTGTTGGACATGTCCAGCTACGAAGAGAATGTGCTGACAAGAACGGACTGTGTGCCAGCATTCACCCTGAAACCCCGACGGAAGGCTTGCAACACATCTTCGAATTCATATACGACCCTTACAGAGAGAGCTAGTCAGATGTCCAATGGAGCTAACGGTTACGTCGGGGGATTCGGGCGAACTCTGTTGCTGACTCTCAGTCGATCGTTGGATTCCAGTTTCATCTGGGGAGCAAAATTCTATTTTCTTTCCGGAATCCGCGCTGGGCCAGGCTACATGGAGAGGAACAGGTTTGGATTCGTCGCCAGGTGCATCTGCTCCTCGGTCTCCCTCCCATTCCGCATCCTCGAGATCTGTTCTTCGGGTCGACCTACGCAGACGAGCCAGGCTCCGCTCCTTCCATGTCTATTGTAACGGTCCACCCTCATAAAGCGAGATTACGCAGCTAGAAGGTAATTCTGGACAAAGCTAGTGTCTCTTCTCGACAGCTGCTGTGGGCTATCTCATGTATATCGAAGGGGGGGTTCGCGAGGATCGGAATCGTCCGGAAAGTTTCAGACATTCTTCTCGCATTGCTTTGGGTCGCCGTAAATGATCGCATCTGCGTGTTCGGTGCTCTTGTCGAGTATGGTCAACATGATTGCTAACACGATTGCGAACGGTGGATACGATAACTCGAATGAAATATTCAGGGACGCCCACGAGAGACTTGCGCATTTCATAGGCAATCTTAAGTTTTTCTTAAGTCAAAAACGGGTATTTCCTCGCTCTTCTCCTTCGACTCACAGAGATAATCGTCGCCCGCAACCACTCGGACGCAAAACAAAAAGAGCTCATTCATCGTAGACTAAGGAATTTGAGATAATGTACAGCGCATGATCAAACCGCTCGGAAACTCTACAGATATTTTATTCCTCATTTTGAGCCTGGGTAAATCATTCCTGGAACGGGGGAAGACGTTTCACCGCTCTGGAAGCCTCTACTGAGGTCAGACCCCTTGCGTCACGGAGCCCTTCGTCTTAACTTCAAGTTCTCTCAGCGTATGCTCGACGGAACTTCGGAGAGACATCTCACGATGTGATCTTTCGGAAGCTGTCTCAACTCCTCTCTCTCATTCAACCACAAGGCGTTCCAGCCCGCCCCTTTCGCACCGATGTAGTCGCAGTCAAAATCATCGCCCACATGAATGATTGATTTCGCTGAAGCTCTCGTTCCGGCATCGTCAATCTTGGAAAGCGCGCAATCGAAGATTCCCCGCTCAGGTTTTAAAAATCCAGTGTCGTATGACGAGAGCACAATGTGAAAATATTGCCGAATTTTCAGAGCTTTCAATATACTGTCTAATCTCTCGTCCATGTTGGAAAGTACGATAAGTTTCAAGTTACTCGCGAGAAGCTCCTCGAGAACCGAATTGCAGTTATCGTTCACTTTCCAATTTTCTTCGGTCGCGAAGGCCTCGTAGAGATGACTGGAAATCCTCTTCCGCAACATCTCGTTTCTTGGATGAGCGTCTAGACCCGCGCCGGTGAGGGTTGAAGACACCACTCGGTGCCAAAACTCCCGGCATCCGATCGACTCTCGGCCAGAGTTGGGATGATCGGAGCTCAGCTGTCTGAAACTCGTTCTGAATGACTTTTCGACGCTGTCGATCGCCAATTCCACTCCATACTCGCGCGCGACCTTGGCGTATACACCGCCTGGAGCGTGGCGGAATCTCGCAAGGGTGTTTGTGAAGTCTAGCGAAACGACGGCGATTCGATTCATGAACTGATATCGAGAAAGAAATAGCGAACCAAGCTCCGACTTGTAGGCTTCACTGCGTCACGCAGGTCATCCGCGCGTCAAGCTGGTGCATTGCTGTGTTTACTTCCTTAACGCGAGCCGTATACGCTAGATGGCGCCACTCTTCCCCGAGTCAATCACCTAATCCGGGTTCCAGATGAGATCTGGGGGTTCCGAATTTCGCGAAAATTGTCTACCTACAACCTCAATGCCGCAGGCGGTCAGTGAAGCTTGAAATTGATCACGCTCAGTAACGAGGTTTCCGTCACACTCCAACCGCGCGAAACATCCAAAGCTCTGCATAATAAGCTCAATGGATGATTCTCACGAAGGAAGTGGAGGAAAGAGATATCTGTTCCGAATTTCTAATCGATTCTCCAGCGATAGGCACTCGAGGCCTCGATTAAACGGCCGTTCAATCAAACTCGCAGATCCGATGATGAATACATGGAAACTTTGCAGACTCGCACATTCGGAGATGGAGTCAGAGGGAAGCGGAGGCTTCTTGGAACTTATCAACCGTTGGGATATCCCGGCGCCGATCAAAGTTTTGGGAAGATCGGTGAATCTGAAGAATACCCCCCCCCCCCGCTCGTGAGCTATATCGAATCGCTGATAATCCCGGTGAGCTCATGTTGATCTCCGAAACCGGTTTCCCTTTCCAACGGGAAACCCGGTACCACGATAGCGCGCATGCGCTATTGGAGAGGGCCCGCAGTGGGAATATTTGTCTGGCTCTCTAAACGATGTGTTGGTGATCGGTTGTTGGTGGCTTGCCATCTCGTTCATTTGTAGCGGTTGCTCGTGCAGGCGACGCCATTGGCAGCGTCCACCGTTGTTTTCATCGCACTGTTCAGATATACGAAGGCCACTCACATAGGAAGGGCACGCTCTCTACGATGCTCTTCGGAGTGTGCTCTCCCCAGGAGATCGACTTGATGTTCGAATTTCGCCAGTGCCCCCGATCCCGATAGTGGAACCATCAGAGCGGGAGAATCAAAACGTAAGGAGGAGGTGAGTGACTGGAATGGCACCGATGCTCTATCGGCAATCACAGCGGAATTCTGTCATCGAAGGACAATTGACAAAAGGAAACTTCCCGCAATCCGGCGGAAATCACCTCAGCTGTTCGAGAGCGATGATCCTTATCGAGGACATCGCTCTCGAATGAGAGGGTTTTCTCATTCAATCTCGACTCTAGACAAGAGCCTTGGATCTCCTTACAGTATGGCTCATCCTGGTGCCGAGACGCTTCCCGAATCGTTCAAATCGAGTATTCGGAAGAACGCAGCTCTTCCAAGTCGCTTAAACTTCCTCCGTTTGGTCATTACAGCAAAATGTCCGCTTCACGTGCGGGGACGTACTCGTCCCGATTGAACTACTACAACCGCATGGTACAGCAATATATTCTTGAGCATCAAGATCCTGTCAGCGGTTTGATTCCAAGCCAAGGCCAGTTCAAAAACCATGCCTGGGTCCGGGACAACGTCTACACGATAATGTGCGTCTGGGCTCTCAGCCTCGCCTTGAAGAAGTTCGACCCGTCCCGTGCCTACGAACTGGAACAGAGCTGCGTAAGTTGATTGATAGGACTTACTAGCAGAAGCTCTCCCGAGTCTCGTGTCTACATATTGTAATAATGATAATCCTGTGCTCTCATCCGAATGAAATTCGCGCATGACCGCGTTTGATCTTCAGGTGAAAAACATGCGCGGTCTCCTGGTTTCGATGATGCGGCAGAGTCACAAAGTGGAAAAGTTCAAAGAGACTTTGTGTCAAATGGATTGTCTACACGCCAAGTATTCTTCTGTCGACGGTAACCCATGCGTGGGAGACACAGAGTGGGGTCACTTGCAACTGGACGCTACGTCTCTCTACCTCTTGACCCTGGCACAGATGACCGCCTCGGGACTCCAGATCATTTTCAATATGGACGAGGTGGCATTTGTGCAGAATCTCGTATTCTATATCGAATCTTCATACTTCGTTCCTGACTACGGCATTTGGGAACGAGGCGACAAGACCAATCACGGCCTCCCAGAGTTGAACGCCAGCTCTATAGGAATGGCGAAAGCCGCTCTGGAAGCTTTGAACGACTTGGATCTCTTCGGAGGCCGCGGCGGACCTCAGTCCGTTATCCAAGTAAGTGATCACTGATCATCAAGGGTACGACTACTTTCCGGGACGAGATCTGCCGGAACAGATCTAAGTTCTCAGATTGAAAGCTTAGACTTCCCGATTTACGGTGAGAACCTGTTCCCATTCACAGGTCCTCGCCGATGAGCCCCAAAAATGCGACGCAGTTCTTCGATCGATGCTGCCTCGCGAATCGAACTCGAAGGAAGTTGATGCGGCTGAGTTGTCAATAATCGGATTCCCGGCTTTCGCCGTTTCCGAGCAAGAGCTTGTCGATAAAACCAGAGATACCATACTCGAGAAGCTGCAAGGTAGGCCTGTACCTAAAGGAACAACTTCCGCAAAAAGCTTCGCAACCGTCGATATCGTATTTCCAGGGTTCATGCAAGGGGCTTATCGATCCTTCACTTATCCACAACGATTCCAGGCAAATATGGTTGCAAGCGATTCCTGCGAGACGGCTACCGTACAGCTCGGGAAGACAGTAAACGCCTCTACTACGATCCGTGGGAGCTCAGCATGTTCGAGGACATCGAGTGCGAATGGCCCCTATTCTACTGCTACATGGTGATAAATTCACTTTTCACGAACGATAGATCCACGGCCGAGCATTACTTGAAACTGCTGAACACCATCGTCGTCAAGGATGAAAACGGCCTCAGCCTCATACCCGAGATGTACGCAGTGGCCGAGAAGCACATAGAGGAGGAGAAACGGAATCCCCACAGTCAAGTGCGGCACGCCGTCGGTACCACGCCGTTCCTCTGGGCGCAGAGTCTATACGTTATCGCGGGACTTCTGATGGAAGGCTTGATAGCTCCAGGGGAACTCGACCCTCTGAACAGACGCTTCAGCACGAACCGAAAGCCAGAAATTGTGGTTCAAGTCACCATTCTTGCCGAAGACCAGGAGACCAAGGAGGCGCTCCTGCCTCTCGTGTCCTGTGTTCAAAGCATCCAAGAAGCCGCACCGGTCCAAGTTCGTTCCGCGCGGGTGCTTTCGAAAATCTACTCGTGCCTTGGTTTGAACGAGAAGATGGAGCTCAGCGGTCGGCTGTCCACCGACGTTGGACTTCTCAGCACAAGTAAACTTTACACATTGGGCGGGAAGGTTTACGCTTTCCTTCCGCAGAACCTCGACGTAGAAAAATTCCATTTGGTCAACGACATCGACCTCTTCCTCAGCACGATGCGATCGGATATCGCTGTTCTCAAGAGCAGCTGGAACATGTTAGGCAGGCCAACAATAATCACGATGATCAGAAGTAGTCAACTGGACAACGGCAAGATCCCTCCTCCGCTGCGTCTGGCCGTCAAGAAGCTCCTCAGCGGGTACATCAACGGTACTCGAGTCACAGTTGGTACGATATCGGATTTCCTCAACACCTCGTGCCTATCGAACTTATCCTTCCTGGAAGGACAGGAGTTGAAGCCTGAACTTCGAGACTATCTGGACAGAGAGTACCGTCGAACCTACCTCAGCTATCCCGGAGTTGTGGTCCCGCAAGCGCCCGGGATGCAGCGAATCAGACGCACAGGCGTCGCCGGTATAATTAGCAGATCGCGTTCCGTCGTCGGTGACCCCGGTGACATCCAATCTATGCAATCAACCGGAACGATTGGGAGTAGGGTGGATGTGACCGAGATGTTGCGCCAACTCGGAGAAACGAAGGATCTGGACGAGCAAGGGGACATACTGCATTTCCTAGCGACGAACAAAGGCCTGGCTTGGGACACGGGACTCGGTCAAGCCCATTCGGTCATCACTGTGAAAGATCTGTTCCATAGATTCTACCACGAAGCTTGTAAAGCGAAAAAATGGGGGTTGGTCAGACATTTCGCCGCCTCATTGGGCAAGCGGGTCGAGGACCTAGCCAAGAGCCTCACAGATCTGTTGGTCCGGCAGAAACAGGTCACGGTGGGCATGCCCCCTAATAACGAGCATACACTCACAAGGCCCTTATCCACGAAAGAATTTCGTGCAATCATCGAGAAAGCTCATCCCGGAGATCAGAGCACGGCGATGCTCACCCAGGAGCTGATTGTATACTTGGCAATGTTCATGAATACTGAACCTCAGCTCTTCAACGAGATGATCCGCCTCCGGATCGGTCTCATCATCCAGGTGATGTGCTCGGAACTCGAGAGATCGTTGGATTGCAGCACGCAAGATGCTGCCGATGCGCTGCTGTCGCTGTCTCCGTTCGATATGCAGAACCTTCTGAAGAACATTCTTTCCGGGAGGGAGTTCTCGCTCAAATCGATGGGTCCCGGGAGCTTGTCCCTGACGTCGAAATATTTCTCCAAATGGGGAACTCGAGCTGGAGACATCATCAACGAAAAAGACGACGAAGAAGATGCTAAACGTGGACAGTGGCTCAGGAGACGCAGACTCGATGGGGCTCTGAACAGAGTACCGGCTGATTTTTACGAGCTCATCTGGAAGGTTCGTTCGTAGGCCTTCCGAAGTATTGTTTTCGCGTTTCCGGGATCCTCGTGTTTCTTGATCGAGGCTGTCCCCACTCTGAATCTTATCTGACCCATCGATTTGTGACGCAAGAGTTTCCGACTTCATTTCAGGTGTTGCAACGATGCGAGGCGATATCATTGGACAACAACAACTGCTTGACGAACAGCTTGACGAAAGAGATGACCCCGGGAGAGTTGAAGTTCGCATTGCGCGTCGAAGCTCTTCTCAATCATATACCCGAGCCTGAGTACCGACAGATGCTTGTCGAAGCTCTGATGATTCTTTCCATCACTTGCGAACAGGACATGCTGATGCCGAATTTCATAAGAGTTGACACGATAGTACAGACCGCACACGATCTTTTCCTCGCTGATCAGCTGCAATACAAGGGGAACTCGACGCTCTGCTGCTTGAATTACACATCACAGGCTGATCCCTGCCACAAAATAGCTGGTCTTTGTGAGTTCTTCATCGACTCGGCTCCGTCGGGGAGTTTTGGAACGATGACCTACATGCTCCGCAGTGTTGCCACACTCTACATCCACCGGTCAGGATGAATGAGATTGTTGTACAGAAGCGGCTAGCGGATCCGATTGTTGCACCGAATTATTCACCTGGGGATAAATTCTACTGGATACTCGGTTTATGGCTATGTCATTGCTTCTTTCGTAGCCGAGGATCGCTTCGAGCATGAGTCGAGAGACGAGGACGCTCAGTGGGGTATCCGGGAGCAGCCGACTCTCCTAGATAGCGTCATCACTCGAGAATCGTCTCGTGGATGTCGATTCGGCTTTCAATCCAGAAGAGTGTTCTCGGTTTCTGAAGCGTGACTTTCAGAGATATGTATCATGAGCGCATTCGGAGCGCCCCAGGCGTACCTGATTGGTCAGTTTCTCAATCCCTGGTTCCCCCAATGATAGCGACAGGGAGAATGGCTCATTTTCCCTCCCAGTTCCACTGGCGCACAAAGAATCTTGAGGACCCTTCCCTCCGGATGAGGGGTACCGAAACGTCGGACCGAATACCTGGATGTCTAACAGTTTTCAAGAAAATCAGGCCCAGATGAGGATGGCGGCATACATCAGAGATTCTGAGCGGGATTGATTCTTAAGAAAATAGTGCTCGCGGCTTCGCGCATCAAGAGACGACACTCGGTTTATTTTATATGATTGTACTTTATTTCTCCACTCGTTTCAGGCGTAAGGTAAAGTTAAATAGAGCGCTCCTTATTTTTCATCAGCAGATCAACATAACAAATGCTGAGGATGAATATTTTTCTCGTCATCGTTGCCGTCTCTGAGATTTGAAGATTTGAACTGAAATCCGTGGAATTTATGCGTCGTTCTCCTCTGATGTCACGTCTTCTTCTCGTGCCAGTTTGTTTGTTTGGTTCGTTCAGTTTCTCACATTATCAAGAGTTATAATAAAATCGTCATGATCGTTGTTTGGTTGTTGCATAAGAACAGCCGAAACCAAAACGTCGTCCCATTTCCATGTCCTTATGGTTTTGCTTTTGTGTTTTTTACTTGATGATACAACCCAATAAACTCTACTTTCCCTCTACGCTTTCCCTCTTTGTGTTCGTACCGCGTCGTCGTTCCTCATGGTTTCCCTAAGCTAATGCCCACGAAAGTTGTTCTTCGATATTTAAAGTTGGTGCCGAATCATTCCGCGAGTACGTGAACAAGAAATCCTGTCGCCGCGCAATCAATGTATCAATGTACGGCCAATGGCTGACAGCATTGACTTTGGGGGATATTTACACAGACAAGATATTCTCAGTCAGCCAAAGAACTACTGGATTCCATTTCAGATCGGCTACAGTGTTCTCCACTCGTTCTGCAATCGTCTCCGAAGGTCATATCGTTTCTACACGCTAAATATACAAATGCGCTGGCTCGATGTACGCTATACTGCGGCTTGTTCGAGTAGCAAACGCAACGATTTCGCTTCGCTCGATAGCTCGATGCTCATTCATTGTCTCATCCACCACAGCTCTCGAGACAAGTCTATCATTCAAATCTCCAATCAATCCCTCAAGCATTCAATCATCAGCTCATCATTTCCGGATATCTTCGCTCATCTATTTCCCAGCTTCTGCTTCTCGATGAACCTTCTCCTGGTTATCCTTTATGGATTGGTTTGTGGAAAAGATAGATGCTGCGTGGAATGACGTCAAGTGAGGCTTTGTATAGCGGTTCTTCTCTCCGCTGGATGATGACGACGATGATGTGGAGCGGTTTGAGACCGATGTCTGATTGATTGATTAGTTGACTGAATGTACAGGTTCGCGTGAGATGAGGCCGACGAAGCCAAGTATCCGGATTGAGCTCCAAACATCGATCCTCCAAAATCGTCTAAAAGTAGGGATCTGACCGGTGTTCTTCCGGTATCCATTCATTGTCCGACTCCCGTTAGCCGCAAATTGCTGGCCGCCGCAAGGAGGAATAATTCATTTCGGATCGTCATCCGAATTTCCGACATCGATCAGATTCTCATGGAGTGAGCTATCGAACGATCAACCGATCTCCCGCAGAGAGGAAATTATCGAAGTGTACGCTTTTAGGGCTAAACATTGTCTCTAGTCGTGGTGCGTACACTCTCCGACTCTGTGTTCCCGGATAAGCCCGCTCGTACCCGCCCGTCTCAACTTCTGAGAAACTCAAGCGAATATCACATTCCTGGGCGGCGACAGGGTGGAATCAAACAGTCGGGCATTAGAACATCACAACGTCACTCGTTCGATCAGAAAGTGACTCACAAACCGAAGCTTGGCACCACATACGTGGGAAGGAATAGCTTCACACATGAGATTGAAAAGAAAAAATTACCAAAAAATTAAACATGAACCGAGTTCTCTGAGCGAGAACCCAGACTTTTCCACGAAGGAATTGAGTCCACTGAGAATTTCCAGTGAATTAACTCGAGGTGGCCAGATCAATGATTGATGTGGGAACTCTCGGAGCACTCCGAGGCGGCGGTCCAGGCTTGTAGCTTCCGATGAGTCGGACACAGGTTCAGATCCAAGGTACTCGAGCTCTCTTCATCGTCGACTTAGGTACGTACACACATCTGCATGTTCTTTGTTTCACATATAATCAGCATTCTTGTTATCGTTTCGATCAGCCATATTACTACTTGTTGGTAATCGACTTTCGTCAATGCCCGCACACGCTCTCCTGCTGAGCAGGACACCAGAATCAATCATACGCGTCCGGCTCTTTCAGTCTTCCCCTCCTTTCAAAGTTCCTCAACACTTCCTCGTTTACTGTAGTGAAGACCCTGCATCGTATTTACATGTAGGAAGGAATCATTTCTTATCTCCTAGGTAGGAAAAAACGGAAACAGATACGGGACGCTATCGACTCGAGCTGAGTCAGCAGCTTGGCGCCGTGTGGCGGGCCTGAGGAAGAGGACCCCACCCAAAAGCGGACCGAAATCACTACGCTGAGATAGGTTAGAGTCCTATGATGATTCGAGGTCAAACTACCCGCCTTGCACGGTTGCTACGCAGCTCAATCAATGTACAACTAGCGATCTTGCGATCCGATCGAACCGGCACGCGAGCGGTGACGATCCGCTCACGACGTGTCCGCCCCAGACAGGATGACGCCATTGATGCACAAATGTTCAACAGCGAGGCTTCCTTTCGCCGATTGCCAAGTCGTTCCGTTTCGAATCATCCGTGTCAAGCATTATTAAGAACTTCGACGCCGAAAATCCGTTCCGTGGTCTCTGGTGTCATTCCTCTGACGACTCTCTACTCAGACGCCGCTTTCGCGTCTTTCTCACTGCTCGCGTAGGGCTCTTCGAATAATGGGACGCTTTTCCCTCTCCCGTATACACAATCTCGCTATCGAACAACTCGGAATCAATGGCGTACCCCACCGATAATATGTATTGTGATCACTTAATCAGCAGAAACGCGCCTTCTACCTTCTGACTCCACGACGTTCTCTTACTTCGGCACAAATGGGTGAATACCGACCGGAGTCGTCATCATCGCCGCTGCAAGGAAATTCGATCGTTAGTCAATTATTGAGTCTCTACATCTAACATCACCTCCACGAGTCGCCCATCGAGACGCTCCAGCTTTTGGATTCAGAGAAATCGATGAGGAATTCATCATCATGCTCATGAAATGGAATGATAAATCAGCCTCGACCATTCATGCTCGATCGGATGTCATCGAGAATCATTCGCTCTCACGGAATCGTCTCATGAAAATCCGGATCAAACGAAGAAGAATGCCTCTCACGCCCACAATCAAACTTATTCGTCATCCATGATACGACAAAAAAATTATCCTCCCCTGCTATGTCTCTCTCTCTCCCTCCCTCTTTCTCTCATGACGCTCTCGAAAATTCATGCTCAGGAGCTAACATGCACAAGTGCGCGTTCCCGTTCTGCCGCACGTGGGACCGAAACCTCAATGAAATGATCAACCGATGTTCTTCCCGCACGTAGAGCTTACCCGCCGCGTAGGGATCGTACATTGGGTACGCCATGCCCAGGTGAGTGTGATGATGCGTGTGCAGATGCCGATGCGGGAGAGACGACACGCTTTCTTTACTCTTTCCTCCCGTCGCAGCGCTGCTCGAACCCCCAAGCGACGAAGGAGTCGCGACACGACCCGGTCGGGCCGCCGTCTTCCCCGACGAAGACGACGGCGACGTCGCAGACGGACCGGCTTTCGGCTTCGGGGGCCCTGACGAACTCTGAGACGTAGAACCCGAGCGCCCGATGCCGGCTGTCGCTGTCTGCTGAGAGGCGGCGACCTATTGATGGTAAATTCGCAATGGAAACGTCGCAGACAGGGACTCGAGGCAGACAGGGAGAGGATAGAACGAACAACGCTAGGTCGAGGGGGGAATCTAGACAGCATTCACGCGCTTCACATGCCTCCATTCGAAATCATGCACGCTGATTATTCATGAACATACAAGCCATCCTTTCATTCTCTAGGCACTTGTACTTACACTGACTTGTTGTAGCAAGTCTAGAGTTGCTTTGGCCGGAGCGGCGGGTGAGCCGGGAACCCCCGGCACTCCACCGAAACGCTCGGATAGATAGCTCGGATGGTACATCACATCCAATCCGAAAGGCGATTGGAAAGGTGGTGCGAAGGGTCCAAGATACATGTTCGGTGGAGGTGCGCCGAACGGCCCCGGCATACCCTGTCCGAGAGGTTTTGGAGACGGGCCCCCAGCGTCCCTCCGAAGGTCCATCGATGGCGACATCCGCTTGTGCGCGGACTGTGAGAAACTCAAGGATTCGCCACCGAGTTGTGCTGCAACCACGAACGAAATCCATGGAATCAAACCAAATATATCATAAACCGGCGAACGGATAAACGACAAGCAGAGGCCAATATATTGAGTGAGCGTGGGAGGAAATGAACTTACGCATGAATTGATTAGGCCCTAGCGGTTGTGATTGTGAAGAGCAGTTCTTCGGCGTGAGTCGCTCCTGAGAAGGTGGAGTCGCTTTGCCTCTCGGAGAAGGTTGAGGCGACTGCCCGTGTGACATCCCCATCAGTTGAGGAGGCATTCCCAACTGAGGAGGTAGACCCTGGCCGAGTTTGAGCCCGGGCGGAAACGATGTGAACAGACTCGGTTGACTGAGAGCCGTTTTCGCCATGGAAACGGCTTGGCCATGATTGCCCACGAGAGACATTCCCACTGGGGATCCTAAACCTAGAGATGCCCCTAACGGGGTCAACGAAGATGAAGAGACAATTGAGGACGCCATCTTGCCGAGGGATGAGAGATCTTTCCGGTCGTCCGACGACAGACCTGTAGGGGAGAGGGGGGATTTAATTCGAATAATTACGCCGAACCGTCCGGCCATCGGTGATTCGACCGACCGGGACAAAGAGGGAGTAGAAACGAAGGCGGCGAAAGAGAATCTCAACGCACCGGCTGGAGTTGTGCTTCTGGAGGACTGCGGGGTGAGCTTCAAACCTGTCGAAGTATGTACATTCCCGGTCGATGAGGGTCGACCGTTATTATTTTGTTGATGACTATTTGATAAATCACTCCTTGAGTCGCTTCCCGCGTGTTGCGACGACATCTGATGCTGTTGCATATTTAATTGATGTTGTTGTTGTTGTTGATGCTGCAAGACCATTTGTTGCTGCTGCATGCTGAGATGTTGTTGGTGTTGCAGGGAGAGTTGCTGCTGATGGTGCTGCTGCAGCGACAGCTGCTGCTGCTGTTGGTGTAGCTGCTGCATCGGTTGTAAATGTTGCGGCAGCGCCTGAAGTGCTTGAGGCTGAGAAGGCAACGGTGGCAACTGTTGCAGCGACGTTTGTCCCAAAGACAGACTCGGACGATTATGATCCCCGTTCGAAGGTGCCGTTTTCGTTGTCGCCGTCGTTGTTGAGGTCGAAGATGACGACGACGTGGTTGTCGTCGGACTAGCCGCCGACGTTATCGTCGGCGTCGTGGAATTCGTTGTGGCAGCTGCTGCACTCACTACTGGCTTCATCGAGGTCACTGTTGCTGAGGACGACGTCGTTGTCGTGGACGGTGTTGTCGTCGTTGCTACGTCAGTAGCTGTGGTTTGTTGTGTAGTCGCTGTCGTCGACGCGGTGGCCGAAGTAGCCGTCGACGTCGACGCGCTCGTTGTTGCTGTGCTTCCTGCCGATGGGGAGCCATTGGCTGGATTTGCCCCGGAGTTGTCATCGGAAATATCAGAGTAGGCAGGGCTCGGCGCACCACCAGGCACGTCGTTATCTAAAGTCGCATTCGACGCAACGTTCTGTGAAGGGCGGAGAGGGGGCGGTTAGACTCTGGGGTGAGCTGAAAACTCCATATTTCGGGGCTAGACAACTCGTACGAATGGTAGAAACTCGGAGGAATATCGTCGGCGAGACACATCCGGAGAGAGTCGAGCGCGGAAAAACGATTTGTCATATTCACCTGGGTGTCGGTGTCGTCAGCAGACGGCCCGTTCAGGTTGCTGCCATTGCTTTCGGCAGTGTGGGCACTGTTTGGAGTATTTCTATCACAGGCAGCGGACATCCTCCCTCCGGACTCCTTGCTTTTATCTTTCGATACGTCACTATCGTCACTCTTGTGTTTCGCATCTGACTTGTCGACTCCGGCCGCATCGCCACTCGACGAATGATCGTTCTGAAATCGGTAAACATCCTTTAGGGACGGAGATTCTCTTCGCTGTGTCTTCCCCGCTTCTGAGAAGAGGAGCCGCGTCCAGCGTTCGAAGCCCCGTCCGGGACGTACCTGGTCGGAATTGGCGGAAGGCACAGCGGCCTGGTCGTCGCCGCCCTCTTTCTGGGCAGGGGGCGGAGGCGTCCGGTCGTTGTGTGCGTGAGTCTGGTGGTACCTCAAGCCGTTGAGCTGCTTGAAGCGTTTGTGGCAACTGGGCTCCGGACACTTGAGCATGCTGGCCTCCTCGATGGCGTCCTCGTCTTCGGCCATTACTCGTGTCACTCGACCCAGACCCACCGCTGAGGCGGACGACAACGAGGACACGCCGCTGGTTGCCCCGCTCCCGCCGGTTGTCCCGTTCCCGCAAGATTTAACGTTGTTGCCGCTTTCGGAAGACGACGACGAAGAAGTACTTCCTGCGTTTCTGTCTTCATTAGACTTGTCGTTCTGGCCCCCATTGTCCTTTGCCAGCTGCTGCTCTGACATCGGCTTCTTCACCTTGGGCGAGTCCGCCGCCACAGGAGAGGCGCACTTGCCGGGACTAGCCGGCACAGGCGTGAATGCCCTCCTGCCTTTCCCTGTTTCGAACATGGATGGATTAACGGATCGAATGATAATAATTGAACGTCAATGTATTCGAGAACGCCAACGGAAGAACTCGATCGAAGAAACAGAACTTCACGAACCATTTCTCAATTTACTGAGACTGTTGTCCTCTGATCCACTCAGCGACCTAGCCTGCCCCGTTCTTTTGGCCCTTCCTCCGAACCCTAGACTGCGACTTCGTTCGTCGCTTTCCTCCGTCAAACGTGGAGGAGCCCAGTCATGTCTTGTCGCGTCCAAAAGGGTTCCCACGTATGTTTTGCCTCTCCACGTTACGTTCACCACCAACACTCCTGCGGAACGGAACACCGGGTTAGGGGAAATTCCCAGTAGAATGCTCGTGTATCGTAAAGCGTGTCAAGAGAGAATTCGTTGAATCCGACTTGAGTCTTCAAACAAGCGATGAGCCACTTACCGCCTTCTGTTTCTTGCCAAACGATCCCTTCGAGGAGAACACTGGTGCCTGGTTCGCAAACACCGAGTGAGTCTGGCTCGGTTACGATTCCAACGGAGCTGCAGATGGTGCCCTGATCCCGGTTTAAAACGGGCTCAGTAGGGCGATTTCGCACGACAGTTTCGGGTGCGGAGATTGAAGGACCATTTTGCGTTGCTTGCTGTTGCTGGCTTTGTCTTTCTTGGTCTTGTTGCCGTTGCTGCTGTTGTTGTTGTTGCTGACCTGCTGTTTGTTGTGTATTATGTGGTTGTGCCTGCTGCTGCTGCTGCTGTTGTTGTTGCTGTTGTTGCAGCTGCTGCTGTTGGTTCTGCGGTCCCTGCTGATGCGCAGCCGACGCAGCCGTCATCGTTGTTGTCGTCGTCGTCGCCTGGCCATTGGTTCCATTGACACGATGCTGTCCCGCTTTATCTTTGTCTTCTTTAGCCGCTTTCTTCGCTTTGGGAGCAATATCATCTTCGGAAACGATTTCATGTCTCTGGCCAGAGTTGACTGATTTTCTTTTGATCTTCATTTTCAGGCCTTTATCAACCGATGTAGCCATGTGGCCATCTTGACCGCTCTTGAGCTCCGGCGCACCGCCATCTGAAAAGGAATCACTGCTTAGCGCTCATCTCCGGCGATCCTCCACCTCGTCACTATCCCGAGAATGCGTCATAATTGCGTGAGAGCTCCCGAGGGCGTTTACGCATCCGGGGACGCACGCGCGGAAGCTCCGGCCGAAATCAGTGTTTTCGTACGCTAATCGGAGATCAGTGGCAGTTCCGGAAGAGCAGAGGGGGGTGGGGTGGTCCGCGCCGGCGAAGCGCGAGTACTTCGCTCGGAAACCGGAAGCGGCGGTCGGAACGTCAAGTTATTGATGCTTTAAAATTACACACGCTTCGATACACAGCAATAGCATCGCCTACTGTGAGGGCTGGAAGGTTGCGCCGAAGTGCGGGAGCGGGTGCTGGTCGCCGGAGCCATCCTAAGCTCGAAAGAACATCACAAGAGATGATTCCGATCTTCCTTCCGCTTCCTCTCGTCCCTCCAGAGATCGCTCATCGATCATCGGAACGTTAGACGATAACTTCACTTCTACTCTTAGTTACATTCTGCAGCAGTGATACCCGCCACAATCACGACCAGCAGCAAGAACAGCAGCAGCATCGCCATAACCGCCAGTGGCATAGCACACCAGCAGTCGCGGAGACACACAGCCAGCAGCACACGCAGACGGACAGAAGAGACAGTTCAACACACATGTGTCTAACTGGTATATGGCGTTTCGGATGATGATCAGCGTTCAGACAGAAAAAAAACTGTAGCAGCTAGTTGCTTTCTCCGCTATCCAGCTCACTGGAGTTCTTTTTCCCGAATTTACGCCACTGCCTACCAGCCCCGGCGGGCTTAGGGCGCGTCGGCCCTGCGTTAGTACCGATTGAGAACGTATACTGGTCCCTTGAGCGTCGCCTCCACTGAGGCGGATCGATCTCTGCGGCGAAAATTAATATTGCTCCATAGAGTCGGAAGCGGACCGCGAAGTGGCTTCCGGTAGAAAATTCTTGCCGCCCCTCCTCGAGATCGAGGGACTCCCAGAGCTCTGCGTATCGAGTTCATTCTCACGCTCTGCAGTCACGTACGCTGAATTCGCCTGGATTGACGCGAATCGTCTCGCGAGATCTTATCGGCTAGCGCGGTTCATCATTGCATGTCCCGGTCAACGAACGAGGCCCGTAGTAGCAGCGAGTTTGTTCCGCTTCAAATCCGCGAGCCTGATAGGTAGAAAAGATTCCGAGTCGGGAATCTATTAGTCAGTGCGCATGATCCGAGAGACCTCTGGTATCTACATGATGAAGATATTCAGGACAGACTCTCTGCGCATACTCGTGACATGGATTCTCGAGATGGAGACACCTCCCTGTCAAGGGATCAGCGGCCCTGGGGCAGAATCCTCGAACACCGGGCCGGAACCTCGACTCAATGCCTCCTCGGTTTTTTCTCCGAATCTATCATTCCACATTATGCATATCGACGGGAGTCAAGATAAATCTTGATTCAATGGGAATAATTTTTCATGGAAATTCGGCATTCTGGCATTCCCATGGGAACCCAGTCGCCCCTGGAGTTCCGATGCCCAGGGCCGCCCCCTGTCCAAGCCTCGCCACGCCTCCACTCTTGTTGATGTCTCCGACGACATCTCGGTGCCTAGACGCACGACTCGAGTTAATTTTTGAGAATTATGCCCTCAAACGCTTGCGATCCAGGTATGGGAACCTGCTTCGAACAAAGAGCGAGCGCGTTTCCCAGCGAGGGTAAGAACCTACCAGTTGTTGCAACGTGAGAGGCCATACCGAGCTAAGTCGGCCGCTTCAGGGTGGTTCTCGTAAACTCACAGCATGATGAGTTCGGGCTTTGCTGAAGCGGAGAGGAGGTCGCGGACAGGCCGTGAAGTCAGCTAGCGAAGACAATCACATCACTGCTCCACCTCCCACCTCTTCACACTGTTGCTGAAAACAAAAATCATCTCAAATTGGAGTCACGGTTCTATGAGTTCGTTTACGCAAGGACCTCGCCAGCCTGCGATGATCAGTGAGGACACAAAATCATCACGTGATTTTGCAATCCGCCGCCTCTCGGCTTTCGAATCCGTTGCGAGGAGGAGGAGCGAGGAGGCAAGTCATGCTGTGGCAAGACTGAGGATGCTCCGGACCATGAATGATTGAGAAAGTCATCCAGATTATCAACGAAGTCGCGTCCTATCCGTAAGAGCTATGAATGTTTGGTTGACATAAATTCGGATCTGCTTCTCGGAGCCGTTCGAATTATTCCAGCCCGCAGTCCCCAAGCCGTAAAGCTCGCGGTGAGGCCGAGGGAAGTAGGTACCTACGAGCGAAGCTCCAGAGATGCGTTCCCCGCTCATTTCTCCAATTCGTCGGAGGTCATTCGTGAGCCACAATCTCTGGGAAAAACTCAGCTCCCGGAAGCCGCCTCGGGATTGAAGGTTGAGCGGATTTTTTCTCGGAACGGAATCGGTTCTCGATGCCGAACCCCGTCGAAATGTCGATCGGAGCCCGCCGGGGAGCGTAGTTCCCACGATAACTTAGTTCGCGGGGAAGCAGATATCACAGGCGTCCCTCTCGAGCCGGTCTTGCAGGGAGAAGGAACCGAATATTTGGTCAGCTCATACCGGATATTCTCCCGTTTCAACTGAGACCAAGTTTCGGGTGATGTCCACCAGTATTTCGGGTTCCTCAGGAACGGATAGATTCTCGTCCCGGGTGGTCTCCCTCGGAGACTCGAGCGAATAGCGGAACGATTATTCGGAGAGTTGATTCCAAGATTACTTCAAACGTCTTCCAAACCAGAGCGTATCATCGCGAATTCCGCTCCCGAGCCGCATCCTGGCCATTTTCTAGAAAATCTCCACTAATATGAAAAGGGTGAGGACCCCTTGGATTTTCTTTCTCGGCGAAGAAATCAGTGAGAGTGACGAATCGAGCGCCGAATGAAGGACGAGCGACAAGCGTTGATTTTTCGCGATCGTCCGTGCCAACGCTCACGGAGAATTTTCCAAGAGGAGGGGACTAATTGCCGACAGCGACAGAAGGAGCGAAAAAGACGCTGATCGACTCAAACCGCTTGCCTTGGTGTCACACCATTTATCAACATAGTGTGGACAACCAGGTGGTTCTTCGCGGGGCGATCTTCGACCTGACAAACGAACGTATCGACGGACCGCAGACGGACGCACGGGACAAGCAAGCGGCCGAACGACCGTTCGCCGGACCGGCCGATTGACCGACCGTCCGACCGTCCGTCCATCAAAGCGGCAGCAGATCGGGAAGTCAAGCGACGGCCGCATTCATTTTTCTTCTGAGCTATTCAAATTCACTCGAGGCGTGCGTCTGATTCTGCGAGCGGAACTCACGACCTAAGCAACACTCACGCAGGAGCAGAGCATGCAAATACACTGAGCGATAAATTTCTTCTGACCGGTGAGGATGAAGAATGCTCGCTAAAGTCGGTGATGACAGACAGCACCTGAGCTCTGTCCAGCAAGGAGCGATGTATGCAAATTTATGAACCTCTTCCAAATGAGGGTTCGAACCGCGAGCGCGAAATCTTTTACTGATCGTGTACCGAGAAATGTTGGAGCTGAGCTCGAGCGAACGCCATGCTCTGACTGCAATCATTTGAAGCTGCATCGATTGAGGTGGCGGCAATAATAACAACTTCATCAACGACAAGGATGACACATGAAATCATATATCCTGGCAGCGGCGGCCGCAGTAGCAGCGGCAGAGCAAGCAGCACCATCTCACCACAAAAATCGCCGCCCGCCTGATTCATAGAGGGTGCCGCAGGGAAACAGCGTTTAACCGCAATCGGAGCGTGCCGGACCCTCAAGTGTTCAGGGAGCGACACCGCGACAGCCACGAGCTCGGTTTATTTCATTACTGAAGCGAAATGCCAATCATTTTACGGTCTCTAGCTCCGTTCACCCGCGGGATCCGGACTCGAGGCGGTGCACCCTCACCCGAAACGCGTGTGAACGCTGAGAAGTCGCCTCGTTCCTATTTGAACTACTGCAAAACGAGTCGAAACAAGTAGATACAATTATTCAACGCGACGCGAACCAATTCGTGAACGTCTTCGCGGCACCTTGGGACGGGTCACCGTTCGCTCTGCGGCGGACACATGAAAGTTCGAGCAAAAAATCCTCAATAAGCACATCCTCGGCCGAGAACACTGGGGCGGCGAGGCCACACTGTGAGGGCAGCAACAACCTAACATGAAAGCACACGATCGCGAATTCAACTTCTGACTTCAACGTCCAAGAAATCCTTACGGAGAGGCTCGAGCGACGATGCGGGCACTCGAGCTCCATTCCGGCGTTTCGAGCCCGACGCTCCGGAAGGGGGAGCGATACCTTGTTGTACCCTCCAGCAACGAACCGGAGTCCGAGAGGAGATCGTACGTTATTTGGTCGTGTCACGCGTTCTCCTCGGTTCACGCCTCCGCCAGCGACTCACAAACTCACAGAGACTCGAACACTAGAAACTACAGGCACTGTAGTCTTCGAGCGCAGCGCTCTCGCGGAAAAAAGGCATCGGACAGGCATCTTCGCAGACTAGCATTAGCACCCAGAAGAATTCAGAACGCTCATGTTTAAGGCAGCTCACAGGGACGGCACGCACAGACCCCAGTGGCCGCAGCAGTGAAAATTAAGTACACACACACCTTGATGCTCCCTTCTGGAGCTCATAGACACTTCACGCGATGATTGTTGGAAACAGTCGAGGCCAGAACTATAACAACCCCCGATACATCCCTTGTTTTCTTCGCCTCTTCAACTGGCCTTCAGCTACAGATCAAAATACCCCAAAGCGTCCTCGGTACCCCTCCCCCGGAGTCGGATGAACGCGTTCAAGTAACGCTTAGGCCGACGACCCACAGCGCGCCAACATTCAAAACATTCTGAGAATCGCCGTGGTAGACATCCTGTTGGCTCGCTTGATTCTGATGAAGAGG